TGCTCTAGTGCATCCCACAAAGGAATGCTGGCACCGGTTGTTGGTAAGCAAAGGAAACAAGTGTTTCAGATCTCTCAGGAAGGAGGGATGCACCTCGAGATACCTTTGCAGAAATTACCTCGTCCTGGTGACTAGCTTCTCGAGTTCTCTCCTCTCACAGAAAGACACCAAATTACTTTCCAGATCTGAACACATTAACCTCCAAAATAAAAGTCACACAACAGCGACGACAATGTTCACCTAAGGTCACTGAATCTGGGCACCAGACATTCTAATCTGAAGCCAGAGCTGAAAGCACTAAGGACCCTCCCACACCCTCAGGGGCACACTGTTATCACAAAAGAGATGGAGATGTCTGCAAACTGGCTGGAGATGGATGGCCACTCACTCGCTCTTCCGTGAAGATCAATTTTAAATAAGACTAAATTAGTAGAAGGCCAGGATGGGTTTCCAACATCCAGGTGAACGGGAAAAGAGAAGACTCGGCCACAGAAGGAGAGAGATAAGGCAGAAGAAGAGGGTTAGTTTCCAGTAATGATCAGATGGAAGGAAAGCCACCCCAGCCAGTGGCAGAAGCAGGCAGGGTCACAGATGGCCTTTCACGCCATTTGTCCCTATCAGCAGGCTGACTTCAGAAACTGTGGGTCTCCAGATGCCCAAGGTCTGTCCAGCCTGCTTATCATAAAAAAAAGAAAGAAAAAAGAAACTCTTTGAAAAATATGTTACAAAGGAAATGGTGAATTTAAAATGAGCTCAGTTTTGAACCAAATGTTGGAAGGGACTTGAATCAAGAAGGTTTTGTGTGGAAAGTGAGGCAATAAGCAAAGGGATGGATATTCCAAGTTTTCCAAAGTTATGTTATGGGAGTCTAAGCTAACATGTACAAGGCTGGACAACTGCAGGCGTCAGATAATAAAGATACTGGAGAGACAAGGCATTGCTGGACATGCAGAAAAGGCCTGGCGTAGAGCAGTCGGACTCTATTGAAGCACTGAGAACAACACGGAGCGCTTGCTGCCATGATCCTCCGCTCCCCTAGTGCACGGCTTCTTCAGCTGAGATACAACACACACCAAAATCACAAGGCCAAGTCAAACACACAGGGAATGAAGATGTGAGCCACACTTGGGACAAACAAATAAAGAAAAATGAAAACCACCGAAAACATCTGACATGATTGCCCAATCCAGAGGGATAGTGAAAACGATCCTTTTATCGTTGCTGCAGACCTATGTGGTAAGTCGCTGGAGTTGTTACACAAGGGGAAAAGGTCATGGGATAAATGCAATGCTATTTTATTTTTAGATGTTCATTACTGGCTGGCGACACCGCAGAGTTCCTCATAAAAAGGAGGCCTAGCCTAAAGCCTTGCATATCAGGTCCTCACTGGTGCAATGAATGTAGATTTGCCTGACCGGAGACACTCAAGAGTTGGGAATGCAGGCCTCCCTGATCTCTGTCTCACAGTGACATCCACATAGCTCCTAGATATTCTGATAGTGATCGGTTCACATACCAGCAGAGAAATTCTGCTGTTTAAAAGTTACAAATCTTTCCCAGATTTAAAAAAAAAAAAGTCCTCTGGTTTCAGAATCATACCCGAGAAAATACTGATTCACATATAAGTGTTTCATACCAGGCTTATTTCCGGTAAGCAATATCACACCATGAACAACTGGGCTTTGAGAAGAACAGAAACTCCTCTTTCTGGCTTGTCATTTATTCTTAAACTAAAGAACAGCTTATCAACAAAGTTTCCACCAAACCCTCCTCAGCTTCCAGAATTTAAAGTAGGATAACATAAGGAGGGGATTTTGTTTCATGATCTTTTTTTTTTTAAAAAAAATCATGCTTATTTTCAGAAAAATATTAGACCACCAGTTCTCAACTTGGGGATCACGACTCCTTTGGGGATGAACAACCCTTTCACAGGGGTCACCTAAGACCATCAGAAAAATTAGATATTTACAATTCATAACAGTAGCAAAATTATAATTATGAGGGAGCAACGAAATAATTTTATGGTTGGGGTCACCACAGCATGAGGAACTATGTTAAAGGGTTGCAACATTAGGAAGGTTGAGAACCATTGATTTAGACAACTATGAAATACTATTATTTCTTGTAGAATCAGTCTATTAGAATATGCATTATTCTTTAGTAAGCTGGAAATTTGGCTGAATTTTAAGCAGAGATTGCAGTAAGTGTTCTAACTTTATTTTCTAAGCTCTGTAGAGATTACAGATGGCACACTTGGCATCAGAAAACATACGTACGCTCTGTGTGCATTGTGGTTACGCCTCACATCTCATCTTTCTGTTTTATGTAAGATTTCTTCTATCCCTTTGGAGTTTGAGGTAAAATGTTTACAACTAGTGTTAAACCAGAACAGAGATTTAGATAGATGTGGTATATAGTTCTAAATAATTTAATTTTTATTTGAACTTCTTGAGCTATCTAATAAGACAAAATTAGGATATCCATATTAAAACTCACTGGGTGTTCCCAATTTTTAAAGATGTACACATATTATGTTCAGACTAACTCAGTATCCTCAGTATCCTAATGTGAGTTCACACCAAAAAATATAAAAGTCAAAATGTATTAAAACTTTGGGGAAAAAAAAGAGTAATTTCTTTTCACTTTTAGAAACTGTTCAATATCAACATTATTTTCAGTGCAAAACTATAGGATTCACCATGGTACCTTTAAAATTGCCTTTAAAAACCCCATGCGGTAAACATAGACAATAGAAGATCAACCTTATTTTTTGAGGCAGGGCTCCATTATATAGCCTCAGGCAACATCAAACTCTCTATCCTCCTGCCTCAGCCTGCCCTATGCTGATGCTATAGGAGTGTACCACCACACCCACATTCTAAACCCCGATGTGTGAGCTCAAATCTTTGCAGATGAACAGACAAACCAACCAAACCCCAAGCAGAGCAAGTAGAGAAGAGAGCAGTGTGAAACCCTCCCCAGACTCAGCACCCTGGAGTACATAAATTGTCCCGCCATCAGCCCTTGCTCACATGCACTTGTCTAGACTTCGCCTTGGAGGCTTCCAGAGTACGGAGCATGCAGGTCAGTGTCTACTGTCTGTAGCTACACACTAGGCAATGTGCAGCAGTCACTGACTTATCCACAGAAGCATTGAAGAAGAGACAAAGCACCTACCATTGTCAGTGTCTCCTTCAGACGGAACACTGTAGCTAGAGTTGTCCCATGTTTGTGCCTGCGTAAGTTTGTTGAAGGAGATAGGAGGGAGAATGAGGGCTGGGTCTGCAGGAGAGCGAGAGAGCCAGGTGGGCAGTTGCACAAGGACCAGGGGAAACCAAAGGGGCCGCAGCATTTCACACGTGGCACGGGGGTCGTATGGAAATGAAGTGGATTTCGTTACATGGGATTTAAATTCAAATGCACAGTATAGGAGGAGAATGAAGGATGGCGCATGGAATAAGAAGAACGATAAAAACTGAGCGTTAGTACTCCTTGGTCACATACTCTGCATGCAGTTAATAGCCATAATCTCAGCGGTTCTACAAGTCTGCAGTCTAGAGTCCTAACGGGTCGTGAAAGCAAAGGGCAAGAACTCATAATTTATGCAGCTGAAAGGAAAAGGCCTACCCAACTTTGCAGGCCCTTCTAACCAACTAACCAGCAGATACAACTGCACAGTTCACCCAGAGCTGCAGGGCACATTAGACAAAGCTCAAAATGGATAAATGTATCTGCTATTTAAAAACAAAAGGATTACACGAGTGTTGCATATGCTAATGCTTTTTAAAAATCAAGATGGTAGATTTTAAAGACACTACTGTAAGGTTTCATAGGGTCTTTAACTAAGAACTGACCTAATCAACGCTTCCTCTAACCCCTGAAGTGCCTTAAAAATCACTTTTCAATGTTGCTCAGTAAAACGTTTTCTGAATATTCAGTACACATAACATAGAAGAAAAAAAAACCCTCAAGAACGTCTGAGTTCGCTATTTATAAAATGATAAGACATCTTATCTTTGGGCTCAATGTCCAGAAAGTAATTTCACTGGGTAGTTAAGGAATCTGCAATTGGAAACTTGGGAAGGAAAAAGCATTCGTTTTCTCCAGCTTAAAACAAATGCTCTCGTTTTCACCTCATAGAACTGGAATTGTGCACAGTGCGGGCACAAGGCAACCTCTGACTTGGTGAGTTGAGGCTGCACTCTACAAAAGTCAAAAGTCACTGAATCCATTTTATAACTAAATTACAGGGTCCACCATTCAAAAGACTGCTAATCTTTGGAGAGTCATCCAACTTTTGATTTCAATTATGAAATGTTTTTTACAATCTTATAGAACTGACCAGAAGGCTTGAAAGAGCCTGCAGCCCCACATGAGGCAGCGGAGGCAGAACTGGTTACCTCCATTTCTCCCAGAACAGAGCTGGGATTGGAAATCAAGGCACGGCCCAGTTTCATACATGAGGAGGCTGGCCATTTGAGTCTTATACTATTTCATCTGGGCTTTTCCTTTCTAGAACATACTCTAGGGCTGGAGATATAGCTCAGTGGGAGAGCACTAGCCTGGCATCTGCAAGTCCCTGGGTTTAATTTTCAGGACTAAAAACCGAAAGCAAAAACATCTAGGAACTCTGATCCCTCTAGAAGTGTTTTTCCAATTGTTCCCCCCGACATACACTCTGTTCTCATGGCCCGAAAACCTCCACACCTGGCCACACGCTGCCCATTAACCACGTGCTCCAAGAACAAAATATTTCCTTTTGTAAAGGAGCCATCTTTGTCTTTCCCATAGGTACCTTTACTTCAAGCCAGAGACTTATATAATTTATCCTGTTGTCACAATGCTTTCCCCCAAAAGCTTAGAGCACCTGTGTTTCCCTCCAGGTGTGCTTACAGACATGTGTCCAGGGCCTTTATTAGACTCCACTTAAAAGCATTAGTGGTAAACACTAAATAAACAAAAAATTTAAAGCAAAGGAGGCCCTAAAAAAAAAGCACCCAAACTAAAAATATACAAAGAAATATACTGTTCTATCTTGAGTCCTTTTTAAAAACTGAGGGTAACTTTGCCCATTGCTATAATTGTTTTTGTCAATATAGTAACCCAAATCAAAATCAAGTAGACCAAAGACTTTTCTGTAAGAATTCTCCCCCGACTCCTAACCACTCATATAAGCCTTAAAATGCTCACCCTCTTTTATGAGTCAATGCAGAGGCCTTACCATGCTCAGAAAGCAACTGGGGACATCTTGGGGAGGACTCTGCCTTCAGGCTGCCCTTTAGCTCAGCAGGGCACCAGGAACCTTTAGGGTAAAGGGGACTCCTTTATTTTCTGTGGGGAGAAAGTTCAAGGGAACCTTCCTTCCCTACTCGCAGGCTCCCTTTGCTGCCCCCTCTGCTGTGGTTCAAAAGAAAGCAGGCTGCCCATGCCTGGAAGCACAGACCAGAGAGCTCGAGACAGTCACCTGACCTCCCCAAAGCTACGACTGCAGGGATGCCAGGACCCCAGCTGACTAGAGCTGGCCATGTTCCTATTCCTCAGGTAGACATTTGAGAGGCCCCAGAGGCACAGTCAGAGTTATTCAGAGTAAGAATCAGCAGAGGTCAACATACCTGAGCGAGGCTTCAGGCCAAAGGGAGCTGTGCTGTTTGCAGTCGGAGACACGGAAGGGGAGTTCTCTCTCACCTGTGGGGTGAGAAGGGAAGACGGTTGGGGCAAAAGTGAAGAACCAGACGTACTTACAGGGTCAAGGATTATTATAAAAACACTCTGCATTCGCTATTCCTGCGCTGTGATGGAGTCCTGGCTTCATTCTTGGCTACAGAAAAAATATCATTCTGTAAATGCTTCAAGAGGCAGCCAGCAATCTGATTCCAGGCACCCTAGTCAATTGTGTTGCTAGCAGTGATTTTTGTGATTGCATCCAATTTTTTACTTGCTCGCTATAAAAATACTTTGTGGTGATGGAACGCTGGCGACCCACTTCTCCTCCGACACAGCTAAATGCATGTGTGTGGTTATCCCAAAGGGCACACCCTAAGGAAGCCTCTCCAACAAGGAGAGATGGAACAGTTACCGCTGAGCAGACAGCTCGTCTACCCAGCAACTGCACGCTGACCCCCCACACGCGACAATCGCGACAATATTGAGTGAGTTCAGTGAGTGAGTCTAGTTGAGTGACTCTCTGACGTCTTCTGTAAAGACATCCCCATCCCTAGTTTCCAAAAACTATTTCTCATGAAATGAACCTTTAGTTATATAGACAGCTAAACAGATTTGTGACAGTGAGTGGCAACTAATGAAAGACCCCATCCACCCCAGCATTAGAGTATGCCCATTTCTCCGTCCACTAACTCATCCATCCCAGCATTAGACACTTCCCATCTCCATCCACTAACTCGTCCACCCCACTGTTCGAGACTGCCCCTTTCTGTGAAAGATACTTCAGTTCAGTCTTCATGAATTACCTTAGCTTCCATTCATCTCAGGAACCTTACCTCGTTTGGAGAATACTGGCTCCCATTGCTCTGTAACATCAGGTCGTTTTGCACCTTAAGAAAGAGACAAATGCATAAATTTTTAGCCTGTTAGAAAGAGGAGGCAAGGACTGCATCTTTCTTATTTCCATCATAGCCCTAGCCCCTGAAGCACATGCTGGCAAAAGTTGAATTAATCTGTGTGTGAAGTAGTAAAGAAGGTCATATTGCTATTTTCTAAAGCTACACAGCGGTATTCATAGAAGAAAGAAAGTATCCAGAGGAGAGCACAGACTGAGATAAGAGATCCCCGGTATAGGGACCCTTCCCAAGTACCTGTGAACACATCTTACCTGGCTAGGTTACCAAACTGCCTGCTAGCTCCCTTCTCCATTTAAATTATGGGTTTTTAGAAATGGTCCAAGCCAGTAATTCCAAAATATCCAGAAGCATACTGGGAACTTTTAGCAAGTACACATGCCTGAACCTCAAGTGACCTTGAAAAACCTCATTCACAGGTCAGTTTAATATCGCTGTGGCAATCACTGATTTCTTGTAAGAAACACTATGAAACCAACTGCGACTTACATATGATCGCTAATACATACAAAGCTTAGGGGCAGGTAATAACATCTTCATAAATGCCTCCATAAAAGTGTAAATCCAAGATGCCCATTCTGTTGAGGAGTGCTATTTAAAAATAGCCCTCATTTACATGAACCGAAGTGAAAACTACATTTAGAATAAGATGCCATCCATGTCCCTACCCAATTAAGGGTCTTTATTAGACCGGCCAGCAAGGGGTATCACGCTGACTCTTTAAGAGACTTCTTCCAGTTTTCCTCACTCTTCCCTCAAAACCTTCTTCTCTTTGATACTGTTTCTGTCCAAACAGTCGGCGTGTATTCTCACTGCACAGCCATCCAATGATAGATCCCCAGTTTCACATGGCCAGTCTTCTAAAGCACGGTTTAGAAAGATGATGTGTGTGAAGGCAGACATTCTGCAAGCCTTGCCTCACCTTTTGGTCACAGCTACACACTGCACTCAATCCCCTTAGGCCACCCTCGCTCCGGGTCCATATGTAACATGGCCACAAACGAAGTGTCCTTCCCTCCTGTCACACTCTCACCATCCTTTCCCGAAGAACACAGAAAACAGACCCGGGACGGCAAACCGCACCATATTCTTCTTGGAATGTTTCAACATCAATATCTTTTTGTCACTCAACAATTTCGCTACTTTACAGTGCTCACTCTCCAGTCCTCCACACCAAAGATCCATACCCAGCACACGCAGGCAACAAATGCTGGCAAACTGATGGGGGTCTGGTGGAAGGGGGTGCAGACATGCAGCAAACACCAAACACGACCTCAGAAGCAGGACCAGCAGCACTACATTCGTCTCCTTCATCACATCAGACCAGCTGTTCATCCGTTCTTTGGAAGTCACAGAGACCTGCCTGTTGTGGACCCAAAGCTGCCTTGAGAAGGAAGAGAATGCCTTATGCCAAAACCGCTCGCTACTCACTGAGGCAAAGAAAACACGCTCACAACATACTAAAATAGCCGAGAGCACTATAAGCCAAACAAGAGACGAGTTCAGGAACTTTGACCCCTAGAAGTTCTGCTTCCTTCCTTGTGCTCTGGCAATCTTAGAAACAGGTAAGTTTGGTTTTGATACAGGGTCTCACTCTACAGTCCAGGCTCACCTTGAACTTGGAACCCTCCTGCCTCAGTGTCAGAATTATGGGTATGCGCCACCATCTGCAGCCAGACAGGCTGCACTTTCGTGGGAAGGCGGGGCAGTAAGCCGGACCTGCCCCAGCCTGGCCAGAACATAAAGCTCACCCTGGGGAACAATGTGCAGCTAAGGCTTGGATGATAACAGACTTCAGCACCTGGCTTTGTGCAAGGCTTGCCGAATCAAAACGAGACACAGACAAAATCATGAACTGGGCTCAGTCTATATTTAGCACACAGCCATCCTCTTCTGCCCTCAGCAAACTCATTCCACATGCCTGGAAGCACTGCTCGTGACCTCCTAAGTGTGCTGGGCTTCTTGCCTTCTGCCAAGCCAAGCTTTGATGGAAAGGTTTGACGCAATCAGGCCTCGCGAAAGTTTGGGCTGTAACAAGACTGAACACAAAGAGGGGGCAACGCAGTGTGATGAAATAGCTGGGCCTACCCAATACCATGGTAACCGATCCAGCCCGTCACCTCAACCTTGAGTTTCACATCCTGTATCCATGAATGGGTCGTGCTAACTCCTGCATTTCCTAATAGTCATCTGGAATACACACTGCTAAGAGCAGGACCTTCTTGGTCTTCCAAGTTTCCATGGTGACACACGGTAGCATCCAGAGAATACTTATTGAAGAGATGGAAGTAGAAAATCCTGACTTCGTGAAGGTTTGACTTAGGAAATTTCTGCTTTACTCTCGTGTAAAAAAGGACCAATCCAACCATCACCATTTTTCACACAGTTCTGGCTTGCCTCAATCTCGTCATATAGCCAAAGCTAGCACCGAACTCCTGATCCTCCTGACTCCGCCTCCTGAGTGCCGGTGTCACAGGTGTATGCTACCATGTCATTTACTGAATGACTTCGGTACAACAGTCAACATGTTACTTCAGAATGATTTTGCCTCACTGCAAGCTAGCAAGTACTCTGAACCCATCAGCAGTCGGCTAGGCAAAGTGACAGTGCCCACTAGGGTATGTGGCTTAAAGACATTTTCAAAGTAATGTTTTTAACTCAGCAAGAGTTTATTGGGAACAGAAACCCCAAGAAGGACCTGTGTTGATAAGGCAGATAAACTATGAGGCACATGACCTGGCACCCAGCGAAGGCTTTTATCTTCCTCTATATCAGAAGTCTAAAGGGACACAATGTTGGAATCATGCCCTGGAGTTGCAGTGAGGTCGTTTATTTTATTTTGTCTAGAAGTCTAGTGTCGTCCTCACACTGAAGTCAGGCAGTAGGAGAGTCGGAGAGTCACAGGGAGCTGAAGCATCTCTGCACAGACTTGTCATCGGTCACATGGGGAAAAGGAAGTAATCAGAACACAGTGATGGAATACGGTTAGCTAATACTCGTTTGAATTAATACAAGCAATGGTAGTGCAGACACAGCAAGTCCCCAGATCTGATGGCCTGGGAAGAGCACACAACAGCACCTAGAAAATATCCAAACTGAGAATGCAGAATCTCAATCGTGAGGAAACGTGAGACAAACAGCATTAGAAAGGGGTAGGCTGCAGAACTGTGGCTCAGTTGGTAGAGTACCAGCCTAGCACGCATGAGACCCTGGGTTAATTCCCAGCACAACATAACCTGGACGCAGTGGTGCACACTTGTAATCCTGACACTCCAGAGGTGGAGGCAGAACAGACAGAAGCTTAAGATCACCATCTGATACACAGCGGGTCTGAGGCCAGCCTCGGGTACATTCAACCCTATCTACAAAAAAAAAAAGGCCTACTTGGGGCTATGGTGGCACATGTCTATAATCCCAGAGCGAGGAGTAAAATGATTAGGAGTTCAAGACTATCTTCTGAACTATCAGAGTTCTAGAATAGCCCGGGCTACATGAGATGTGTCAACCAAACGCAAAGACTGACACTAGGCGGAAGCCCACATTGAAGGGACAGGAATGCTCAGCGAACTACTTTAAATCAACTGATGTATCTGGAATCTGGAGGGCCGACGACAGGCCAGCAGCCAATCAGCACACACTTATGAAGTGGAAGACGGAAATGTTTCTGCAGAAGAGGAATGTCCACGACGTGACACCGACATGCTAGGGAGAGCGGAGAGTGGTGTGCATGCTCTCGGCTATGTCAAAGAACTGCAGATGTGGAGAAAAGAGAGAGGTTCCAAACAAGAGAACAGATGCAGGAAAACACCAGGCTGAATCTCCCTGCCCAAAGGGAAGGGGCTGGAAGTGTCTGCACTTCAGAAATCTTGGGTTTGAATTATTTGTAAATACATATGAGGAGCTTGGAAACAGGACCTTAATCTAGACAGTTTGCATTCGTTTCATGTACGCCCTACACACACCATCTGAGGGGGTTTGATTCTGTGTTTTCAAAACTTTGACCTGTCTTATGAGACCAAGTGCATAATTTTATATCTCTGGTGTCCTGGTAGTGCTAAAAAGTTTTTCAAGTTTTGTAACATCTTAGATTTGCATACTAACAATAATTAGCCTGTACTGAAAAATCTATGTGGTAGATTATAATATTTTCATAACTTTTATAGAACCTGCAATCTATTTTTATAATCCTTTTGAAATTCAAAATATTTCCAAACATGAAACTTTTTTAAAAAGTAAGTCTCCAGGGAGGGGCTGGGGAGACAGCTCAGTAGTTAAGAACACTTCTTTCAGAAGACCTAAGTTTGGATCTCAGGATGCACATGGCAATTTATAAACATCTGTAACTCCAGTGATGGGATGTGTGGCCCTGTTCTGATCCCCGCGGGCACCAGGCATGCATATAGCACACACATGAGCAAAACACTCATATGCATTAAAAAATCTTTTAAAAAGTGGGTCTACGGAGAAACAAACTCATTCTCAGAGAGCGTAAGAGACCAGTACGTGGCTGCCTGCAAATCAAAGTCCCATGACGTTCAATCCTGGTTCACTTGCAAAGGAGGCACTGTGAGTCTGTCTGAAGACCACACCAATAACCATAACAGAGCAGGAGATAGCAGCTAGCATTTACCTGCCGCTGCTGGGAGATTTCTTCTGAATCATCTCATTTGAGATGTACATTAGCTATTATTAGACTGAAAGGGACCAAAACGAAAAGTAAAGTTTAGAGAGGTTAATTAAGTCGCACAGGGTTAGCAATTCAAAGACAGGGCAGCTATGTGATGTAAACACTAGCCCTTGACGTGAACAACGGAACCATACTCTGCAAACTCTGCAAACCCTGGCTCGTCCCCTTTTCAAAGACAGGGCAGCTATGTGATGTAAACATTAGTCCTTGATGTTAACAATGGAACCATACTCTGCAAACCCTAGCTCGTCCCCTTTTCCTCATTTCTTTGGCACAGGCATGTTGAGTGTAAAACTGCTTTATTACTCCATAGGACATGTGCAGGCAGCTCCAGGGCATGTACGGGTTTGTGTTTTATCACAGCAATAGGAAAGCAGTCAGAAGTTGGTACAAGGCAGGGGTTTAGTGTGACAGGCCAGACCAGGCTGTCTTTTAGAGAAAGGTTGAAAATGGGCGGGGGGGGACTTTGAACTAGGAAAGGAGCCGGATGCTGTAAGTATGGCTTAACAGAGCTATCCTAGTAGGGGCTTGGAAGACAGCAGTGCTAAGAGCAATGGGACTATGGAGACCAAGTACAGGTGGTTTCTGAGAAGTACAATATTAGCAACTGGGCTAGAGACCAGTCTTGTGATATTTTGGCAAAGAATGTGGTTGGTTTTGCCCTTATCCTAAGAATCTGCCTGAAGCAAAATTGAAAAGTTTGAGACTAGTTTTTTTCACAGAGGATATCTGAAGACAGACTCCTATTTATTAAATTGTGTAGTTATTAGCAATGACTCTTATATAGCTCTACAATGAAAAGTATCCAGCAAGACAAGAAAACATTCAACACGTACAGTTTGAGAAGAAAAAGAGCACCAGGAAATAGAAGGCTGGAGCCCAGGCTTGTGCTGAAAGAGATAAAGAGATGAGAGATGCCAAATGGGGCAAAAGGAGGGGTGCCCTCAAGGCATGGCCCTACCCAGCTAGTCTGCAATGTCTGGAAAAGGGCCCAGAAATTTTTCTAGTCCTAAAAAAAGCAACTAATCAGAGCTTGTGTAAATGCAATTCAAGGAGAGAGTCAGGCTCCATCCAACAAGGACAGCTGAATTTGGCAGCACTGGTAATGTGGTCTGGTTTAGTTATGAAGGACCCAGGAGAGAAGGGGTGGTGGGACCTTCCCCTATAGCAGTGGTTCTCAACTTGTGGGTTGTGACACCCATAGAGGTCACATATTATTTATTCTGCCTATCAGATATTTATATTACAATTCATAACAGTAGCAAAATTACAGTCATGAAGGAGCAATGGAATAATTTTATGGTTGGCGCCACCACACATGAGGAACTGTGTTAAAGGGTCACAGTGTTAGAAGGTTGGGAACCACGGCTCTATGGTTAAAGAGAGTTCTGAGGTCAACTGTATGGCAGGGAAGTCCCTGCATGGAAGCCCTCAAAGGCCAATGCATGAAGCCACCAGAATGAAGCCTAGATTGTGTTGGAGACCCGAGAACACTGGAGTGCCAGAATCATGGGATGTCTGCCAGAGAGAGCTGCAGACAGGGAACAGAACCAACCCAAGAGAGAAGGGTGCCGCAGTCAGCAAAGTTGGAAGGGCAGAGTCATCTAAGCTCCTTGACATCAGACATGGAATTACAGCTTGCCCTGCTGAATTTTTACTTTCCTTTGATCCACTACGGCACCATTCCTCCCTTCTGGAATGGTAATAGATATTCTAGGCCACTGTATAATGGGACTATGCTTTTTTATTTTAAAGGGGTTACAACTGCCTTGGGTCTCAGAAGAGACTTTGAAACTGTAAAGGACAATGTGGGGGCGCTTTTGAAGTTGGACTAAAATGTACTTTTGTATTATGATATGGCCACCAGCCTATGGGGGCCCAAGGACTAAAACACAGTGGTTTGAATGAAAATAGTTCCCATGGGCTCACAGATTTGAATGCTCAGTCCCCAGTTGGTGAAATTGTTTGGCACTTGTTGGAGATGGAATGTCAGTGGAAGCTGGTTTTGAGGTTTCAAAAGCCCATGCTATTCCCAGTTAGTGCGCTCTCCTCACCCCGCCCCCCCGTCATGGTCCCTGGCACAACAGTCATTGACTCTAAACCTCTGGGGCCCCAAATTAAACCTTGTCTTTTATATGCCCTGATCACGGAGTTCCATCACAGCAATAGTAAAACGGGCTGTAACCCCCAAACTACTAGCGCAAACCCACCTTTCCACAACGGGAATAAGCTTTCTCCAGGATCTGTCCTAGTTTTATGTCAAAAATGTTTTCCCTATGGCCACCAAGATTTCTTTCCATGTAACTCTATCTAATCCTGTCCCCAAAGATTCCCGCCAGCTTCTCATTATAATATGCCTTTGTATCCGTGTATGCACCTATGTGTATGCGAATGTGGAAACCAGGTGTCAACATCTGGACTCTTCCTCAACCATTCTCCACCTTATTTTTTGAGTAGGAATCTCTAGAGCTCTGTGGTTCTCAACCTGTGGGTTGCAATCCCTTCGGGAGGCAAACGACCCGTTCACAGGGGTGCCGTATCCTGCATGTCAGATCTTTACACTGTAATTCATAACAGTAACAAAATCGTGGCTATGAAGTAGCAACAAAAATAATTGTATGGTTGGGGGTCACCACAGCAGGAGGAACCGTATTAAGGGGTCACAGTCTTAGGAAGGTTGAGAACCACTGTTGCAGCTGAACCTGGGGCTTTACCCATTCAGCAAGGCTGGCTAACCAGTGAGCTCTAGAGATGCTCCTGTCTCCATCTTGTACCACTGATTACAACTATCGGCTGCCAGGCCTGGCTTCTTATACAGATGCTGAGGATCTGAATGCAGATCTTTATGTCTGTGCAGACATCTGTCTCCTAACTCCCAATAAATTCCTTTAATCTTCCCAGACGTCCTCAGCTCAATTCATCGTGTCCCCGAGGTTCTTCCTGTGGCCAGACTTTTTCTTTTTGGCTCTAGCATCTGAATCAAATGGGCCTCCCTCCCATTTCTAACCGGCACAGACTTCCTATACATGTTGGTGGTCACTGCCTGACCCCAAGAGTCTATCCAGGCAAAGGAATGCAGAGAATCTAACACAACCAGCCAACACTCCTCTTTCAGGAAAGGCGAGGGACAGTGGCTAACAGAACCAGAGAACAAAAGCAGGAAACGGGTAACATGTGTCATGAACTAACGCCGCTCCTGTCCTCCCATAAGGCAATGCCAAGCTCTGTCCTTACCTCACACTCTGGAGACGTCTCTAGCTGCATCTGACCACTGTAGGAAGGCAGGGAGGAAAAAGAGACAAAGTGGATTAGGAAATTCAAAAATGTATTGTTGTAAAAACAGAAAATATACTACATTATGAACGGTGAACGTACTTGAATGTAGGGCCAGGTAATTCTAAGGCTTCTGCAGAGCCCACGGGGTACAGGTTCAAAATACTCCTCTCTGTGATGTCGGTGCTCAGACTGAAGAGAAGGGAAAACAGACAGCAGTCAAATCATTAAATTTCCAATAAACTCTACTGGCCCAGGTACTTTCCAAACTTAAGTGACAAGCAAAGCTTCCCTTCAGGATTAAGAGGAAGGCTTTTCCAAACACATGTTTCTTTCCCAACATAGTTTCCTATCAGCTATTCGCACCTAACTCCAATTTATGAGCAAAATGGCACAATAATTACTGATAAAATCATGTACTTACAGACACACACCAAGGGGCTCACACGTTAATATGACAGCACCAGTGACATCTGGTTCTGACTACAAAATCTTTCTGAGTTACAACGCTACAATTGAAAATTAAGAATCTGGGACCGGTCATTGGTGGCACACAACTTTTAATCCCAGCCCTCGGGAGGCAGAGAGAGGTGGATCTCTGTGAGTTCAAGGCCAGCCTGGTCTACAAGAGCTAGTTCCAGGACAGGCTCCATAGTTACACAGAAACCCTGTCTTGAAAAACCAAAACAAGAGTCCATTGGCTCACAAGAATATTACTATAAAAACCAAGCTTGTCGAATTTATTTCAATTATTTTAAGATGAAGAACAAACATATGGAAGTAGCCAATGGAGTGGAAACAAAGTGTCCCACATGAAATGGTTTCAACATGGGCCTTGATACATCAAGTTGGGCATCACTTGGAAATCTGTCAGGATGGTCTCCTACAGAGCTGCACACACCTGCCATTCTACACACTGAGCAAGCTCAGTGACTCATCTTGTCTCATACTCAAGAGCTTGTCAGTCTAACTCAGTGGTTCTCAATCTTCCTAATGCTGACACCCTTTAATACAGTTCCTCAACATACAGGTGATACCCAACCATAAAGCTGTTTTCATTGCTACTTTATACTTTTACTACTGTTATGAATTATAATGCAAATATCAGATAAGCAGCTGCCCTTAGGCAACACTGTGAAAGGGTCATCAGAGCCCCACAGAGGGACAATCCACAGGAAGAGAACAGCTGGTCTAGAGGATACCAACTCAACCTACTTCCCAACAGAGGAGAACACTGAGGCGCCAGTGCAGACCCTTGCCTCCCAGTCTCCCTGTTTTATGACGGGGTCCTAACCCACACAGCAGGACACAGCTATTTCCACACAACTAGGACCTGCTTTTCTTTTCTCTTTCCCCTTGAGAATCACCTGCTAACCAGTGACGTTAGTAACCAAAAACGTTTACTAGTAGAGTAAGGACGAAACACTCAAAAGCACAGAAAACCGGAGCCCTCTCCCCGTGACGTCAGTGTTCCAGCTCTCCACTCTGGCTTCCATGCCCTTCCTCCCTCCTGCCTATCCTCTGCCCCCCACCCCTCACACAGCTTTCTCCTGCACCCGACTCTCGCAGCCCCAGTTCTCCGCCCTACAATATCATGTGGCTGTTTGATGGGTGTTCCATCTGCAGAAGTGTTCACTACGCGCTCAATTGAAGCTGCCACCTCACTCCTCAGCAGGCCACACCCTCCCTCCATATTCTCGTCATGGGATGATGAGACGCCAGCAGCTCAGGTCTTGAAGGATCCACAGCAAAATACCCACTTTAATATATTTCCTTCTAGATTTGTTTCAGTTTCTTATGCAATTGGAACCTAATTCTGTATCTACAACTGAACTCAAACTACGCATTTTTAAATTAAATTTTTTAGAAGTTAGTATTAAATCAGGAGCATTTCAGAACCAATGGTAACCGTAACAAAAATTGTTATGGCCCACATCACATTCTATTTTATCAATAGCCATAAAATATATTTAAAATACTCCCAAATGGGGCTGGAGAGATGGCTCAGAGGTTAAGAGCACTGCCTGCCCATCCAAAGGTCCTGAGTTCAATTCCCAGCAACCACATGGTGGCTCACAGCCATCTGTAATGAGATCTGGTGTCCTCTTCTGACCAGCAAACATACACACAGATAGACAGAACACTGTATACATAATAAATAAATCTTTTTAAAAAATACTCCCAAATGGTTCATTTCCTTTTTTCTAAACATTGCTGTTAAAATTACCCATTTCTCATCAAACAAAACATTAGTTCCTATCCTTTTGTTCCTTAAGGTAATTTCACAAGTCATTTGAAAGGTCCACATATTTTTAAATTCTTGCTTACAAACTACTAAAGTGACTTGAACGTTTGACTAAGTTAGTTTCATTACAACTGTTTATATATTATTTCAAATCCTTACAACCCTAAGAAGCAAGTTGGGTTCTCTACTTTGTAACTCCATCGTAGAGACATGGGATTCAGGTGCTGGAACTGGGTTAAAACCAGCTTTTGGTTGACTCAAAGTCTGCTCTTAGCACCAGCCATGTTATGTCCTGATTCTGTGCACACACACACACAGGCTCACACCTCAAATCAATTAATGTCCTCAGAGTTAAAATGCTTTTCAGGGGCTAGCAAGACGGTTCATTGGGGAAAGGTGCTCGCTGCTAAGTCTGACCTGAGTTCCGTCCTGAGATCCTCATGGTGTGAGAAGACAAGACTCCTTTGCGCTGCCCCATGGTCTCTCTACATATGCTGTAGAGTGTGCTAGCTCCCTCGCTTGCAACCACTCTCGTTCCCTCTCTTATACACACATGGTCAGTGTAATTTTAAAAACTTTAGATGTTTTTCAATCAGTCGCTAAAGATTTCCAATCATACACGAACGGATATTCCGCTATTCTTTCAGGGCCAGAGGACACCGCAGAAGGTGCTGCCTGGACTGCGGAACCACCTTGTTTATAAATTCCAGCTAAAAGTGATGTGTGTGCAATAGCCACGTTCACAGTAAGACTCCATCGTCTTTGCATTCCCATGACTCCTGAGAAATTTAGATGATCAGAGATGAGGTTTAGGTCTATTTCTGCATTAGCCACGTAGGTTAGTGTCTCGCATCGGACACTGTTGGGCTAAAAAGGAGTTTTGTCTGTGGAAATTACATTATCTAAGGAATTCATTCTCTCTCTCTCTCTCTTTCTCTCTCTCATACACATAAACATACACACACACACACACACACACAGAGAGAGAGAGAGAGAGAGAGAGAGAGAGAGAGAGAGAGAGAGAGAATATGTCCCTGATAGAGCCCAATCCAAATTTAAGGAATCTACAACCCAAATCTTTAGAAATACACTGGTTGATTATCATATATCTAGCATTACCAGAAATACACAGAGGTTGTAAATTTCCATTCTTAATAGAATATTTTTTATGTTTTGTGCTTCTCTCATATTTCTGTTTTCAGTAAATTCTACCAAGCAGTCCATATGGATGTCATAAGAGGTACGGATCCATCACGAAAGACTGAGAAGGCATGACCTTATCTCAATAGCTACTAAAATCTGACTTTCACTTTTGGATCTTGGGGACTAAGGCAATTAAATGACTTTACTTTGTTGGTGGTTACATGGAGAACAAATTGGATGGAGCTATTTTAGAAAGTGAAATAATGTCCTCAGTAACTTAGTAGGCTTCGTTTACCCACAAGACCCAGGCCAGGAACAGACACACATACCCGTTGGGATCCTGAAGCAATTCTGCTTCTCGGAACTGCTCCATCATCACTATATCCAAATCCTGATCTTTGGATGACCCTAGTCTGTAACACAAAGCCAAGTATGAGTGCAGAATGACTGCTAAAACATCTTAAGCGCCTCCTTGCAAAACCCATCAACCTCCTAAAAATGATTCTGACAGACTCAATACTGTAATGACGCCATGCCAGTATCTTACAGGTTGGGTCCCTCAGTGTGGGAGAGTGGCTCTCAATCCTGATTCTGAAATGCAGGAAAATCAACTGGGGAGCCTAAGAAACAAACATACCAGACCCAACGCACCTAAACAAACCTGGCCTTGTGTAAAGACAGGCCTTCTAGAAAGCTCTACAAACGATCCTGACTTTACAGCCAGAGTTGAGAGAAGATGTGAAACTGAAAATAAGATATGCAAAGATTTATCTGCTTTCAGTTTTCTTTCCTTGGGATAGTATGCTATTACAGTAACTGGGCTCCTTGGCATCTCAGATGTGTATACAAGGAGCTGGTAGAACAGAATGGCAGGAAGGGACTTCCCAGGAGGAGAAATTTGATCATAGTTGGCTGCTCTTGCCGTACAATGTAGGCCAAAGAATTCCTACTAGTAGAGAACATTTTAAACAACTGTACCAGCCCCTTTTAAGGAAAAAAAAACCATCCTTACAAAGTATAGTGGAAGGTTGAGACCTATGTATATCGCAGACCACAGGAAGCAAAAAGCCTATGAACTAAACATCTACCCTACACTATGGGTACCAAGTCTACTTCCTGGAAGAGGCTCATTTTCTGGCAAGACACTCATTTGCTCTCCGGAGATCTTGCCAAATAAATCTTTATATACAGTAGAACAAAAAGAGACATTCATTTGGTACAAGGTTCCTCGAGGTCAAATGTTAGCCTTCTATAGCCTTGGAGACAAGAGCATCATCAATCTGTGGGGCAATTTCACTATCTGCAAAACGGTAGACAACGGAGCTTATAGGACGGCTAAACAGAAGAACCGAGCTGCGCTCTGTGAAATAAAACAGTGCCAGGAGCGCAGAATTTAACATGTGCTAACTATGACAGTTATTAGACTGGACACTGAAGAAGCACTTTTCAAAGATTTGAGCCAGAAGCCCCTGGGTGGAGTCTGTGAGGAGACTGGTACTCCTCACATTAGGTCTGGCTATTGGCTTCGTCAATCAAAAATGAAAGGAAAGTAGCAGACATTCTCCATATTATGTTTTCTGTACTGACAACATCGAGCCAGATAAACCTCAAGGCCAACAAAAAAAACAAAAAACAAAAAAAAACGTAACGTTCAGCTATGTAGTGGTTCAAATGTACCTTCCAAACTTTATGTAGAAAATTTAATGCCAAAGACGGCAGTGTTAGGCATTGGACCTTCATGAGGGAATCTAGGGCTCCTGAGGGGAGCAATGGGTGCCGTTATCACAGGAGGTGGCTCCTCATCCACAGGAGCTCAGGTCTGTCGCACACTCTCATGAGACACAGCCCTTTGATCTTGGACTTCTAAGCCTCGATAACTGCAGGCCAATTAAACTTCCATGTCACGTAGCCTACGTGATAGTCCCTCATAAAAGCACAATTGAAGAGACAATACAGCCCTGTACTGTAAAATAGAGTCATAGAAAAACTGGCAACTTCGTCCTAGTATGCCTGGGGAAGACTCTAGACTTGCCCTAAGAAAAACAGATCAAAACCTATCAGGACATGACTGCCAGTGTGCCCGAAGAGGCGTGATGATGACCTCTGACCCGGCCCTGGCACTTACAATCCCTCCATCTGCCAGTGGGCGTCCTCTTCTATCCGCAATAGCTCTTCACAGTCCTCTGGCTGGTCCTATGGACAGAACAAACACATGGGACAATCAAGGAAGAGTTAAAATCAGTGCCAGACCATGTCCACGGCAGCGTAATTCACAAGAGTCAAAAGGCAAAACCAAGCCAGGTATCCACTGATATGCTACAGATATATAATGGGATAATCTTTGCATCCAGAAAATCTCGAGTATGAAATCTCTCTCTCTCTCTCTCTCTCTCTCTCTCTCTCTCTCTCTCCCTCCCTCCCACCCCCCCCCCCGCCCGCCCTCCCTCCCTCCCTCTCTCTCTCTCTCTCTCTCTCTCTCTCACACACACACACACACACACTGCATGACTGCACCCATGCAAGGTACTCACAGTCGTCAAATTCATTGAGATGAAAAGGAAAGCAGTGATTGCCAGAGAGAGGAGGCAGAATGGGGCAGATTTAATAGGTAGAGTCATCAGTTCTAAACGGTGAAAAGGGTTTTGGCAGTAAGAAGACAGTGTAACAATATGTATATATTAACCCAAACTGCACTGTGCCACTGAAATCTGGTTAGGAGGATCTGTTAGGGTGATGTATAGGCAGCGTTCACTCGCACCTCAGCATTCAGAAGGTCAGTTACGGCAGAAGGATCGTGACTTCAAGGTGAGCCTGAGCTACCTATCAAGACTTGACTCAAAAACTTTTAAGGTAAAAGATTTTATTTTTATACATATCTTATCACAATTACTTAGAAAGTTAGAAACTTGGAAAATTAGTGGGGCGGTGGTGGCACACGCCTTTAATCCCAGAACTCAGGGATGCAGAGGCAGGCTGACCTCTGAGAGCTTGAGGCTAGACTGGTTTAAAAAGTGAGTTCCAGGACAGCCACAGCTGTTATATAGGGAAACCCTGTCTCAAAAAAAGTGAATAAACAAATAAAACCTTAGAAAATTAAATGTTTAAAAAAACATAAAGTTGGGCTGGTGAGATGGCTCAGTGGTTAAGAGCACCGACTGCTCCTCCAGAGGACCCAGGTTCAATTCCCAGCACCCACATGGCAGCTCGCAGCTGTCTGTAAATCCAGTTCAAAAGAATCTGACATCATTATACCAATGTGCATGAAATAAAGTTAAATAAAGTTTAAAAAGTTTACCTGAGTTCCTTATTTAATTCAACTTACTAGTATTTAATAATAGAAACAGTCTCATGGAACAAATTCAGAGTTCACTCAAATGCTTCCCCTAAAAGTTCTCTGGAGAAGCTACAGAGCGAGTGAACCCCGGAAAAGCCGTGTCTACCATGGGCCTTCCAAGTATTTCCTTGGACTTTCTCCTCAGACAAGGAAAATGTCCTGGCTGGGCAGCACTGGCAGGGAGCCACCCTGGAGTGGGTACATTTCCCTATTAGGGAAAAAAGAATACTGGACTGTAGGATGTAGGGGCACATCAGCATTGGGTCCAGTGTGTCTTTAGGACCAGACTTCCCTGAGGAAGATGCTTCAGACACCACTTTTACTATACCGACTGTACTTTCACAGTTTAACAACCACCATATAAACTAACTGTGCGTCACCCTGCAAATGACAGTGAAATCCACGGAAATAGACTGTTAGATGTCACACCCAAAGCAATGTGTTCTTCTAGGTCTCTGCCAGTGGAGACACGGTGTCCTTCTCACTTGCAGCCTCAAAATGAAAAGCCGCCAAAACATGTAGTTTTTCTTCAGAGCACAGAACAAGCTGACGTTAGTTGGCTGAACTTGGTTTTGTTTTGTTTTTTCCCTTCAAAGTAGGTAGCATTCAAGAACAGGGTCATTCAACAAAAATTCACCTGTAGTCTCCAAAGCAGTGCTCAGGGTACGTCTGAGTAACACAAAGACACAGACACACTCTCACAGACAGACACAGAGACACAGACACAGACACACACACACACACACACACAGTAATTGACAAAAATGGAAACTAAACACATACAGGCTCCAGGTGAGGCAGGATAAGGAGCGCTCAGCCTTCTGGCTCTAATTCTCATAGTGTGAACTGAACAAGCATTGCTACTGGTCCACTTAGCGCACATTTTCATATTTTTGTGCCTTTTAAAAAAATGATTTCACAATTCAAAATGGGCCCCAAATATAATGCTGCGATGCTCCCTAGTCCTAGGCAACTGCAGAGTCCTCATTAAAGAGAGACATGGTAGGTAAGTTTTATACAGGTATGCACGGCAGTGTTAGTGAATGCAATACAAATAAACCAATAACAGGTAGTCACACATAACGATGCTGTAGCCATCTGAGACAGGCAAGTGCACAATGGTGAAATTCTACAACAACACATTTTTCAAAACCGACCTCCGCCATTAAGGCATACCTGACCTGACACTGAGCCAGGTGTCTCTAACAATAGACATACATAAAACAAAGCGTGGTGTTGACTGACAAAAGTGTAACCAAAGGCTCTCAGAAATCTGAGTTGGTATTTTCTCTAAGTAGACCGGGTTGGTGTTGGATAACTTAATATGCATAGTGGTTGTCTACAATAAAACTATTTCAAATGATAAAAAAAACTGACCAGAATAACAAAACACAAGATGCCAATTCAGGAAATAAGAAAGGATTATATAAAGTACAGAACTTTTAATGAGCAATGTGCTGGGGCAGTATGGTACACAAACTGGTCCTTAGGTATAAGGTTACAAACTAGAAGTCGAACCTAACTAACATATGCTTACTCCTTGAGTCTCTAGCCATGGGATCCACCCTCTACAGCAGCCATTTCCAGGATCCTCAGCATCCTGGGGCTCTCAAACCTGGGGGGACCATGTGCTCTACAAATTACTCTGATTTCCTTTGGAACTTGACCTGGAGTTTGAATCTTCCAAACACATTTCTCAAGTGTTCTATCTTTAGAGTCTCAACCTAAGGGAAACTCTTGAGGCAATGGAGACCAAATCATTTTCCCATGTTCTCATGACTCTCTCACTGTCCCACACAGACAGGGGTCATATGCGGAAGAACCCTGTGGGAGAGACCTGAGAGAAACCGCATCAGATCTGGGCTCTAAGAAAACAGTTGGGGGCAGAGGGGCGGTGTTGGCGGAGGAGCCCAAGTGCCACCGATAACGATCACGGTGAGATATGGCACACTCAGCTAAAGCAATGCGGATGGAGACAGAGGATGAGAAGAAGCTCCAAAAGTGAAAAGCTAGGATACCGTACAGATCACTTTGAGTTTTCCCCTTCTGGATGCCTGTTACCATTTTAGACTAGTGGTTCTCAACCTGGGGGTGGCATTGAATGACTCTTTCACAGGGTTCGCCTAATATCATCAGAAAATATTTAGAATTCGTAACAGCAGCAAAATTACAGTAGCAACGCAAATAATGTTTTGGTTGGTGTCACCACAGCCCAAGGACCTGTGTTAAAGGGTCGCAGCATTAGGAGGGTTGAGAACCACTGATGTTAGACTGTCAGACTGCACAAACTAAGCAGGGTTGATTACGGAATCGCCAAATTGATTATTTTCACCTCGAGGGTGGAAAGAAAGCCACAACACACGAGAATCTTAAGCAGCAGCGTAAATAAAGTTTGGCTTGTCTTCTTCCTGGTGTCCTTGGAGTTAATGGCCAAAAATATTGGTTAGGCTGGGTCAAAGCATCAAACTGATCATCATGGATGAGGGGCTGGCAAGGTGGCTCAGGAGGTCAAGGCGCCCGTCGCCAAACCTGATGATCTGAGTTCACGCCCTGGGAGCCACATGGTGTAAGGAGAGTTAGCTGTCCTCTGACATCCATATGGGAGCCATCTTGCTGGCCCATCATGCTGAAGCCTTTGAGCCATATGACTTTTGAGCTTCTACTTTTGGAACACGTTGGATTTCAGATTTTTGGACTATAGATCATCATTCTGTAATGTCTACATGAATATTCCAAAATCTGAAGAGCCCGGGAACCTGGGATATTTCTAGTTCTTTTTTTCTTTCTTTGGCTTTTTGAGACAAAGTTTCTCAGTAACTAAGGAGCCAGTCCTGGAACTTTCTCTGTAGACCAGGCTGGCCTCGAACTCACAAAGATTCGCCTGCCTCTGCCTCCAGAGTGCTGGGATTGAAAGTGTGCACCAGCATTGCCCAGCTGACAATTCTAGTTCTGAGGTAAAAGGCTGCTCGGCCTGAGCTCTCAAGCCTGAGCTTCTCAAGAAGTAGTCACACAAAACATGATGAGGAAAAGAAAGCGATTTTGAGCTTTTGCAAATGAGCATGGTAATCATTCTGGCCAGCTGCTAACTTGTGAGGCTCGGTGAGACAAAAGGAACTGAGCAATTCCTTTTGCTCAGAAAAAAATGAATTTTCTGAGCAAAATTGATTCTGATTCAAAAAATTGAATTCTGATTCAAATTCTGATTCAAAAAATTGAATCAGAAAAAAAAAGAAATTAAAAAGAAAAGAAAACCATATATAAACACCAAACCATCCAGAAACAAGCAGGGTTGATTCCCACTGCCAGACACAGACATGCTGGAGGCTTCCGGAGCAAACAGTAAGCGGGAACTGGAATGTTGGACTGAAATCTTTGAACCTGAATTCTAAGGTGCCAAGCAGAGGAATATGAGTTGAGCCGCACCATCTTACCTTAATATAGTTCATAAATCCCGAGTGAAGAGGATCTGCTCCATCGGCAAACTGGCCTCTTTCCTGTCCGGAGCTACTGCTGTCACCCAAGAGGGAAGGCTTTGGCTGAAATTCTACTGTCAAGAAGACACAGAGGAAGAAAGAAAGTGTGACTTTCAGGACAGAAGCATGAAGCACAGGTCCTCAAACACACAGATAACTGCTACCAAACCGTCTCTCACCCCTGTGAAGGTCCAGGAATAACCCACACTTTATTTTCCCTGTAAAATATAAGGTGAAAATTCACCAGGGGCGAAGGAATAAAAAATAAACGAGACCCCAAACTGAATATCAGACATCAAGGCTGCTTGATGGCTTAGCTCCCCACAAAAGAACTGAAATGTCACACCTCATGGTTTTAAAGAATCAAGACAATTATAAAAGAGAGTTTTTACGCTCTCAGCGGAATGTGGCTAATTAATTCAAATTCTAAGTTCAACGAAATGTACTGACTGTTCCATGGGAAGCGTCAAGCCACTTAAGATATGTACCTTCATGTCCACTGGAGGGAGGAAACGGCTTCTGTCCTTAACCAACCAAAAATCTTCAGAAAACGTGGAACATGACTAGACAAGAGCCCCATATCCTACCAATGACAGAAACGACCCCCCGAGAAAGACTCTCCAGAAGCAAGAGCATGCTGGCTAGGGTAGAAATCAGCTGTCCCAGCAGGCAGAGCACAGGCAAACGGACAGCACAGACAACTGCTCTGACAGGAGGCTGCACAGGACAAAGCAGGGGGCATCCTTTATACGGTAAGGCTAAAAGGTAACCTTGTCGGGGGTTAGGAGGAGCTTACTAGTAAAAGATTATTTTATTTGAAAAATATGTCTCAAACATGACCCCCAATGCTACATATTGTGATAAGATTTACATGAATGAACACGGTGACAGTTATATTTTCATGTAAATATTCGGCTAGACTTTTGGGTTCACGTATGGTTTCTATTGTAATCTCTATATTTAAGGCTACCCTCAAGTCCTAAGTATAAAAATCTGTATCTATGGTGCTGGAGAGAAGGCTCACAGGTCCTCTTCCAGAGGACCCAGCTTCAGTTCCCAGCACCCACACACCAACCTACAATTGTCTGTTACTCCAGTTCCTGGGGATCTTTAACGCCCTCACACAGATACAGATGCAGGTAAAACACCAATGCACATATGATAAGAATAAATAAATCATTTAAGAATGTGTCAGAAAACACACAAGAATCTAAAGCTAAGAGTTGGGTATGGTGGTGCTCATCTATACCAGTACTGGAGAGGCAGAAGCAGGAAAGTGCCCTAGGCCAGCCTAGGCTGGAAGTAGGAAGAGCTTGTTCCAAACGAATACAAGTTTCCTAAATCTAAGAAGTGAAAAAAGATAGAGAAATGTTTGAGTGGTCTTAAAATAGCTCTCTGATCCTTAAGAAGACCATGTCAGGGACTGAAGACGCAGCTCAGGAGGTAAAAGTGTGTGTTGCTCTTATCGAGGACCCAGGCTCAAGTTCCATTCCCAGCCCTCAGCACTTACATGGTGACCCACAACCAACTGTAACTCCAGTCCCAGGAGACCCAAAGTCCCCATCTGACCTCTGCAGATACCAGGCCCGTACATGGTGTGCTTACATACATGCAGGAAAAACATTTACACACATAAAATAAAATGAATAAATCTAACAAATTTTGAAAGAAAGTGATCATCCTGGGATTTGACCCATCACTGATACAGTTCTACGCTTTGTGTACAACATTCTTCATCCTCTATCACAAATCATGAAGGGTAAATTGCAATATTTTCTTTTAAAGTCATTGAATAAACCAGAGCCATCAAAATAATGCCCCAATTATCTATGATAGTATGGCTCCCACAAGGATTGAGACACTCAAGCTACAGTGTTTAGTGATCACCTGATGATTATCTAAGAGTCAAAGCACTAGAGTTACAAAGACCCTTGGAGGCTATCTAATCTAATGGTCTTTACAGGAGATGGATGAGACCAACTGACTTGGTTACAGTCCAACAGATTCCCAAGCTCAAACTTCAAGTGTATTAGATGTGTCCATGGAATAAAGCATGTCTTATAAATGATGGGCACTTCTAAGCCAGGCCACAACCTCCATGTTCTGCCACTCTAGCTTAAAACACATGGATGTGAAGACACTGGGAATCCATGCTAAAGGTAAGGAATGGGCATTGGTCTGCCAATCAACCCTTGGAGGGCAGCTGTCTGCCAACCACCAGCTTCTATTTGGACTGTCACTGAGATGTGGAAATTTGATGATAGCAAATAGAGCTGTCCTAAGTCTTATATATCATATCAATATTTTCTTTTCAAAAATCAATCTAAAGACTCTCCTCTAATCTTCAGGATGAGGGCTCCACTATTGACTGTGAGGAGCAGAGCTGGCTTGAGAAATCACTGGGAAGTCATTTCAACTGTCTGAGCCCTGGTCTCGCCACCTGTAGAATAGACAGAAGAGCTATCTAGAGTTTGGGACTTGACATGAAATTCCCCTGTGGGCATGGCAGTTAGCTCACAGTCTGTACAATGCAAAGAGGAAACTGACCGTCTCCGCATCTGTACGTGGTACTGGAAGCCCTGTGGCCTAACCTACAAAGCAAGCGCTCTCCATACACATCTTGCTCAGACCTTTAGCTGGGGTCAGACGATGGCACGCATCTTCCTTAATGGTCTGGTCTTCCTCCATGATATTTGACATGGGAACATTGAGACTAACTGTGTCCTCATCGGAGGGCTAAAAAGATAAAAAAGGGAATCACGTCATCCAAAGGAGAAGTTTTGTGGGTGCAAAGAGAACTCTGTAAGAAAGTGGCATCCTGACCTTAATAAACAGCCTACTGAGTAAAAGACAGCAGAGACAAAATCCTACCTATACAAATTCAGAAACACCCTAATGGTGATGTCTGGACTCAGGAGAGCGGCTGTTCACAGGGGATGGTGGGCATGCGAGTGAGACTTTTCAGACTGCTGGGAAGCTCTGCTTTATGAATGAGAGCTGGCTGTGAGCATAGATGTACAATGTTAACACTGCACACACACCTCTACATATAAGCTTCAACCTAAAGTCTCGTGGGGTTCCTCCCATTCTGAGCTTAGAGCCATAGGCACTCAAGGACCATGCGATGCCCAATGTGACAGGGGAATCTTTGTATACAAACTACCGCATTAGTCCTAAGCCATACTCTTGTATCCCAAGTTAAGACACAGATCCTCATTTATCTTCCCATCTTCATTTCTGGTGTTGCTATTTAGTGACAAGTGACAAGCATCCCAAGGCACAGGGAGCAGGGCATCCCCAGAGCATACAACAGGTGTGCGGCTGGTTGCTCAAGGTTTGCAGCTCTCTTCATTCTTGGACAGAAGCACAGCGGATTTAGAAACAGGCAGAAGGCAAGCATGACTTTCACTCAGCAAACAAATATTCACAGATTCCCCACAAGCTCTGGCTGAATTATCTTGGGGGAAAATAGGCATCTACTGTCTTCATGACCAATGTTAAGTCAGTCAGACAACGGCAACCGTCAGAGAAAAGGTACCAGTGTGACCACTGACCCCTGACCCCGACAATGAGGTTTCAGAGAGGAGTGATCCTGGTCAAAACATTTACAAATAGCACACCATGAAGTATAATTCAAAACCTTAGCCGGGTGGTGGTGGCGCATGCCTATAATCCCAGCAGTCGAGAGGCATAGACAGGTAGATTTCCGTGAATTTGAGGCCAGCCTGGTCTACAAGAGCTAGTTCTAGGACAGGCTCAAAAGCTACAGAGAAACCCTGTCTTGAAAAACAAACAAACAAACAAAACAAAACAAAACAAAAAAACCTTACCATTCCTAAAAACCAAAACAAGCGTTTTAGAGGTATGCTTAGAAAATGAGGCTAGCATAGGGGTGAGACAGGCAAGGGAAAGACTCATTCATTTTATTCTACTGAATTATAATTATTTCTACAGTCCCCTTTCCCTCCCTCTCCCTCCCACCCTTACAGTTAGCAGAAGTCCAAAGATATGCATTTAATTAAATGGGGAACACAATTCCTTGGGCTCTCTTCAGAATGCTATTAGCATCCAACTTACAAGTGCAGCAGGATAATGAAGCTCTTTGTGAGATGTTTTATTAATGAACTTAATTATTCTTAGAAGAGAGATAAAGGAGAGATTGTTTCAATTTAGTGGAAAATAAGTCCAGGGTGGCTAGTTTCTGCAACAATGGTCCATTTGAGGGTACTTAGGAATCTTCATGAAGTCCAAGGGGTTAAATAGACAGTAACATAGAAAAGCCATGTAGTCAGCGTTCCCACCATATGTGGGAATCACGGTCAACTGTCAATGTGGCTTCACGTGGGTTGTTTTCTTACATTGCTAGTGGCTGCCTACTAACTCTTCCTTAAAATGCTTTAAAAGAAATTCTTCATCAGAAAAATGCTGAGGAATTTTAATTTATTTTATTTTTAAAGTGTGTGTGTCTGGGTGTGGTGTGGTGTGGTGTGTGTGTGTGTGTGTGTGTGTGTGTGTGTGTGTATGTAGCATGTGGAGGCTGGAGGTCAATGCTGGAATCTCCCTCTCTCTCCACATTCTTCTTGAGACAGGGCCTCCTCACTGAGCCTGGATCCCACCGATTTAGCTCGGCTGGTTGGCAGGAGCTGCAGAGCTCCAGGGTCCTCTTGTCTCTCTTTCTCACGGTGTGATGACTGGATCGTATTTCCAGGGCTGGCTTTTCCAGCGGCTCTGGGGACGGAACCCGCGGTGCGCAGCGAGCATTTTACAAGACTACTCAATCCATGCCCCGGCACCAAATTTTAGATTGTTTCGTTTTGTTTTTAAAGAAACTGCTTTATAGCACATTTTGTGGAAAATAAACTTTTCTGCTTGTTAAAGCTCAAACCTAGAAGAGAACTGGAAAAAAAAAAAAAACTTCCAGGAATAGCATTCAATAAACTGTGATTCCTTTAGATGAAGTAACTGATCTAATGATTGCAACCTCAAGGATCCCTTGTGGGATCTAAGGGACCACACAAGGCTGGGCGTGGTGGCACACTCCTTTAATCCCTGCACTCAGGAGGCAGAGGCAGGTGGATCTCTCTGAGTGCAGGGCCAGCCTGGTCTACAGAGTGAGTTCCAGGACAGCCAAAGAGACACAGAGAAGCCCTGTCTTGAAAATAAATAAACAAAAGACATGAATGCCCTGTGTCACTCGAAGAAGCTCTGTCATGCCAGACTGATTTGGCTAACCTTACAAATAAATTTAATTTTCTGAACAGAACACAGCTGAAGTGCCAGAACTATAAATACTATTCTGAAAACTACAGGTAAGGGCCAGGGAGATGGCTCAGCAGGGAAAGGTGCCAGGTGCCAAGTCTGATGGCCTGCCTGAATTTAATCCCAGGAACCCACGTGGCGGAAGGAAGGAACTGACTCCTGCACGTTGCCCTTGAACCTCCACACATGGCGTGGCACATGCACACCCTAACACACACATTCACTGAAACATTTGACAAATCCAATGGCTAGTTACAAACATTTCAGGGGCTAAGCTACTCAGACACAGCGCACACTTGGCTCCTGAACACTTCTGAATGCATATAACCACGCGTCCCTGAAGTCCTGTTAAAGACGGGTATATTTCTAAGAGCGCTTCATGCTTGTACAGGACTTGGCCCTTTCATGATATCTACTGAGCATTAAAGAATATTCAGATGATGTGGGAGTGGAGAAAAGACAGGGACTGTATTTTTGAGTTATTTCTAAAATACTAAGGTAGACAGAGATACAGAATGACAGAAGCTACTGTTTACAGAACCTTAGGGGTCCAAGTTGTGCTCCCAAATGTGACTGAACTGTCAATGCAAATCATCCAAATATGTCAGCGGCTTCTTCCAGAAAAAGAGTTTAGTGGACACAGACAGATGGGCCCAGCACCAAGGAGAATACTGTGGTCACCAGATTTACCTCGGTGGCAGACAACCGTTTATCCCCATTGTCACTTCCAACTCCCGAATCAGAATCCTTCTTACTGGGGAGATGTCATCATCGTTGAATTTGGTTAGGAAAAAAAAATTTAAAAAATCACAAAGTTGACACCCAGATATACCAATTAGCAATATAATAACTTCATTATCATCATTATTGTAATTATGATTATATGACAACGAATCAGTTTACTCCTAAGAACTATGAAGAAACGGACATAATGAGAACCATACACAGCTGCCGCCGACATGATAATTCTCTGTATTCAGGACTTCCTCCTCTGAGGAGCAACTTATTGCTTTGAAACAGTTACTAATTTTATTTCATTGGTACATATATTAAAAACAGTAAGATATATAATTGTTTTGATCTGGTAGGTAATAAAACACTATTCTCAATCATTTTGAAAACCTTTCCCTTTCCTGTGATTAACTATACCTGGTAATATAAATATAAAATAATCAATATATAGTTATAGCATTATTTTGAAAATGCCATTAGGGTAGTATGAAATTTCAGGTCACCCTGTTTAGCAAAGAGCAAAGCAAAAGGTCTCTGCCCCAGAGAAGTCTCTAGAAAACACTGTTCCTTAGTGTCCCTGGGGCTACTCTGTTCTCAGGATGCTTATGGCCTGTCTTACAGCACAGATGGCCCAGGGAAGCTTGAAGGGATCCTCACTCTTCCACAAGAAACCAGAAAAAAATGGGAAAAAATTATCCACAATGCATTTTAAAAACTGAAGCCCACAGGTCTTAAAGGTGTTAAGATACAACTAACAGTGTGCAGGTATACAGGATATCAGTAACTCCTTAAACATTTCAGCTTGATACAGTTATTAAAATCAAAAACAGCAGGGCCCGGACAAGATCTTGCTGTACATACCTATGTTCGGACCAGGCTGACCTAAAATTCACAATCCTCTTAGCTTGGTCTCCTAAATACTGGGATGACAGGTGTTTGCCACCATGCCCAGCTTAAGAACAACAACTTTAAAAAATGTAATGCTTTACAATGAGAGTTTGATATAGCTATGTTAATTGGAAGCATAAAAATCCATTCTAGATACTGTTTATGAGCATCCACACATGTATTCGGGAAGAATTGACTATTGATGAGGAGAAGGTAGATTAGAGTCTCTCCAGCATCAGCTTTCTGTACACCATTCTTTTCCCAAGCTTTAAGTCATGAGTGTGAATCACACAAATGAAACATAGGTATTCTGGCTTCCAGTTATCTGGGCAGATGCATCTACGCACCTTCTAAGCAGGCTCTCTCAGGAAGGAAGGCATTAACTCACCTGTCGTCTACGTGCTGGTGTAAATGAGGCCTCTCCATGGCGTGGAGGTAGAGGGGATCAGTCGTCTTTATTTGGCACGCCTGTATACTCAGATACTTAAATATGTGCACTTTGCCTTTTGTGCAAATCTACGAAGACATCAGTAATGCATATTTATTCCTCAGTGACAAAACAAAATGTAAGTTTCAGGTCCCTGACCGTGCCATTTAATCTTCAGAATGTCATGGTGAGCAACCCCCTAACGACGGCCACAAAACACACATGGATTCTCAGGACTGTTCCCTCCAAATTCTACTTTGAACAGAAAATTATGCTCAAGAAATTCCTAACCTTTTGTAACTACTAAATTTTAATGAAAATGTATTTAAATGACAATAGTGTGAGATTTATAAAAGTGGTCCCATATTGGTAATAGTCCAACTATAAAAGGTGAAAAAACATTCATTTTCAAGTCTATAGAGAACAATTAAGGGTTTAAAAGATAATCATAGATTTAATAAGTCATTATGTTATTTAAAAAGAAAATAAACTGTAAAATTTGTATGAAGAAACATACATACTTTATAGTGTTTCTTAAAGTTTTCTATTTGATACCTGTCTCAAAAATATCAGCGATTATTTACTTTTAAGATGTTTAAATTCCACTTTCCTAGCTAACATTCAAATATGGAACATATTACCCCTTTTGTAGCCCATATATTCTATGACTGAGTGGTACATTACCAAACCTGTAATTTTGGCCTTGGGGTGTTCAAAACGGTGACAGAGATTTGTGCGCACAGATGTGATGCATCCCGAGGTAACTTAGCCAGATGTACTTAAAGCTGCACTCGCTGCAGGAGAATACCCACTGCACCCCATCAGGCCTAGCGCAGCCTTGGGTGTGCAGAGAGTCAAGGCTCTGGGCGGGTCCTCACCTGAGCCGGAGGGGACTGCAGAGGGTTGTTCTCCAGCTGAAGCACCTGCAGCTGCTTCATCTCTCTGAAGCAGATGGGGATCACCAGAACTTTGTTGCAGGAAAAGTCAAACTTTACCAAGGGGAGATCTACCAGCTCTGAAACAGAGAAAAAGGAAAATGAATTGAATTAAAAGAAAAGAAAAGAAAGGAAAGGGGAAGAGGAGGGGGAGGGGGGAGGGGAGGGGAGGGGAGGGAAGGGAAGGGAAGGGAAGGGAAGGAAAAAGAAAAGAAAAATCTCAGAAAACAGTAGGATCAAGCAGCTACCCCCTCAAAAATGAACCTTCTGCATATGGGGGGATATGCTGTTTAGTAAAACCAACAGTCAGCTGTTAGGAATACACGGTATGCATATAAAGTATTTCCCTGAATGGGGGGATCTTTTCCTGGGTGCTCAGTCACCACAAACTGCACTGGGAACACTTGACATTCATAGTATCTAAGGAGCCAGTTCTCTTCCAGCAAAGGAACGGCAGGAGCCCTGCCACACAGAACATGATTGCTCTAGCTGTCACCCATTTTCCTGAAGCACTTGCTGACGAGGAATGACATGCTAATGACAGAAAATCCTTATGTATTCAGTGGCGCTTAGTTGGCACGGAACCAGAAAAAGTTCCGGTCACTATGTTCCTGATTTTCTCAGAGGCTGTTTTGTTGTTGTTGTTGTTGTTGTTGTGTTTTGTTCCTTTCCCTGGTGTTACCTAATTTAGGATTTTCCACAAGACCCCGTAATTCTGATCTGGCCGGGCTGTTTCGCTGCCCTTGAAGTCGGCCCCCAGCGCAGCTCACAGGAGAAGATGCTGCCTTTAGCCTGAGGTCCCCACCCAGTGGCACAGTAAACACTCAGTAATTCCAAGTATTCCAACCGACACTGGCAGCTGCTAGGAATGAAGTCCAACACATTCCCAGAGAGCAAAGCGAGGCTGGGTGGTGCCAGAACCAGGGTGACGCTGGCAGATCTCAGAGCTGGCTGGGTCGAGACTACAGTAGGGTCACTTCAGAACAGTGCCCCGTACTTCGGGTATGGGAGCTGTCAGAGGCCAAAATATAGTGGTTTCAAATACTTCTGGCCTCCTAAAGAGGAAGACAGCCAGAAACTAGACAGGGAGAGGACCCGAAGGAGAGGGCACCCACCTAAAAGAAGACTCAGCAGTTTCTCCTCTTCCATTACACGGCTGAAGCTTTCAAACAACCCTGCAGAGGACTTTGGCTCCCCTGACACCACTCCCTGAGGTTGAGCGCTGTGTCTTCTCAGAACTCAAGGCCCTGGGAAAGTAAGGGGCTTTCCGTCTTTCACACCTCAGGGTATTATTTCATCTTCCAGAACGGAGTAACGAGATAGAAAATTCTAGAATGATGAAGAATACCCAACTCCCAGGCCTCAAAGTCAAGTCCGTGGAGGCTCTATAGGACAAACTCAGGAATTGTATGTCAAAACATATGCCAAGGAATCTGTGTGTCCACACTGCCCTGAGCAGCTCAAATCCCCAGTGGGGGCAGTCACGGGTCTGGACATCTCCTAAAGGCTGTCTGGATGAGGCACAGGGAGGAGTGACAGGGGCACTAGGTTGTGGAGGTGGAGCATGGGACTGAAAGGAAAGGGAAAGCAGGATTCTGTCTTAGTGTTCCCATTGCTGCAATGAACACCATGGCCAAAAACAACCCGGTGAGGAAAGGGCTTAGCTCAGCATACAGTTTACAGTCCGCTACAAAGGGAGGGCAGGGCAAGGGCCTGGAGGCAGGAGCTGATGCAGAGGCCATGGAGGAGTGCTGCTTAGTGGCATGCTCCTCAATGCTTGCTAAGCCTGCTTTTGCCTGCTTTCTTCTAGAAACCAGCATCATTTGCCAAGGGGTGGTAATACCCACAGTGGGCTGGAAGCCCCCAGTCAAGAAAATGCCTACAGACTTGCCTGCAAGCTAATCCTTTCTCAATTGATGTTCTCTTCTCAGATGCCCTAGCCTATGTCAAGATGACTAAGAACAAACTGACTAACCAGTATAGATCCCTCATGGTGCAGTCTGTAGATCACCTAAGGACTGGGATTCCCAGGGCAGGATGACTTCGGAGCTAAGCCAGTGTTAAAATTTAATGGGACTCTGTGTTCTGGCTTTTATGATTCCTTTGCTAGAAGAAATGGGGCTTTTTAGACAATAGCTATTATGTAGCAAGTGTTCCCAGCAATTGTTTACCAATTGAAATGGAGACTGAGCATAACCACAGGAGTATTCCGGGGAGTGGAGAACTCACAGGTGAAGAGCAAAGGACGCTTTTCCGGCGGCCACTGCCTGGTCCAGGGGTTTCACGGTGCAGTAGCGTAGGGGAATGAGACCGCTACGTTCTCACAGCAGCCGTGAAGGTAATGACAGCCTTGCAAGGCTGATCAGAAAGGGACAAGAGGCAGAAGAGGTAAAGAAAGAAAGCCACATCAAGAAGGGGGAAAGGAGGAAATGGAGAAGCAGAAAAACAGGAAGACAGAAGCAAATAAGAGGAGGAAGAAAAGGAAGAGAGGAAAGAAGAAAAGAAACAGGAGGAAAAGAAGAGGAAGACGGAGCAGAAGCAGAAGAAAGACCGTTGGGAGGAGGAGGAAGGAGAAAGAAGACTGGGAAAGGAGCTGAAGGTGGGAAAGGAGGTCGAACTCTACATTTCTCTCTCTATTCAAAGGGAGGCAAGGAATAATGCTCTAGTACCCCCTGCCATCATGGCCTAAAAGAAGGAAGCAGGGCCTCCCCGTTCTATTTGTTGTAAGATACACAAAACTGGATAGGGTGAGTAGGCTGCAAACTTCTCTTTTCCTCCTCCTCAAACTGAAACCATATGAGGGAAGAATCCCCAGGAGAACAAACGGAGGTAAATATGGAAGGCCACGGATGGGCTGCCTGGAGGGATCAACACTCTTGTCAACAGAGTTCTCTACACAGAGGCAGAAAGAAACTTAATATTCAGAATTATCTTTTCCTTTTTAAAAAAGGTTCCAGTAACCTTAACATTTCAGCTCTGGGTTTTATATTTTTTTAAAAAATATCAAAGCTGAGAAAACATAATTATGAAAGGCAGAGCAAGTGGCAACTGATTTTTTATTTATTTATTTATTTATTTTTTAGGGAAAAGAATGCTCTTAAGGTGGGAGAGAAGCAGTAAGAGAACCAGAAACTGAGGCTTGGCAGGTGTGCTCTCTTCCCCTGTGCCATACTGTGGCCATACAATAATGTAATTGGTTTTCCCTTCTGGAAACGGAGTCAATTATTTATGACATTTCCAAAAGGATTGTCACAGGCACTCGAATGCAGAGGGCTTCTTAATAACAAACCCGAAAGGCTGTGTTGTGCAGATGTGCTGCGAATTAAAATTTTGTTTGTAGTTATTGTTTGTGGTTATTATTATTAGGGAAAATGGTTTTATACACTCAAAGAAATGAAACTGTGCCCCGGAACCAGTGGAGAAAGTAAATGTCTTCAATGAGCTCATCTCGGGTAAGGCAATGAAACCTACACAGAGGAAGTTTATAATTCTTCTTCGAATGCAAGCCGGCATGAGCAAGGGGAACCCCCCAGCCCGCTACCATCACATATGATGCATTTTACAGAGCTCTACTGCTCTGCACTGTTTCAGAAGCTGTTTCCATGTCTTGAACAAGAAAGTGAAAACAAGAAGGCAGATTTCAAAATGCCACACTAATGAATACCAAATGAACTGGATGACAGCTGCCTCCTAGTGTGCACGTTGGCACTGAGATGCCTTCCAAAAAAGTCCTGGAAATTGGCTACTGCAGAAGCTTCCTAAATGTAATCATATGCACTTACATCGAGGAGTTAAAATGGAGTCACCTTAGAACCTAAGATGGGGCAACATACTTAAGTTATGGAACACAGCAAAATCAAGTAGGTACTGACCGGGAAGCATCATCCCTACCAGCGAGCATTCATAGAGCTCAAAAGTGCAATGCATGCTACCAGAGAAAAAGAATAATCTTCCTTCTTACCCTGGGAGTACGCTCTGAACCCCGGGAGATTCAAATTCTTAATAATAGCAACCAGTGTGCACAGGTACACAAGACTCACCACCGCTTATAAAGAAACATGAAGAAAGTAACGTCTCCTGCATGTTCTTCCTCTTGCCCTACTTTCTTACCAGGTGGTAAAACCTTAAGGTAATTTCTCCGGACGTTCAGTTCTCGCAGAGACTTCAGTTGGCCTATCTGCTGGGGCAAAGCTGTGATCTCGTTGCAGCTGACATCCTGCAAGAGGAGGGTTGAGGGGGGTGGTCAGACAGGGATAACAAAATGCCCCCCCCCAAGCATTTCATGTGAATTCTCCTCAAAGAACGCAAATGTTTGTCTAACTCCACATTCCACTTTTCTACTGGTCTCCAGCTCCCCAGTCAGAGGGCGTCAATGATGAAGAGAAAGAGTTTGGTTTCCTGTGTCCTTCGAAGGAAGAAGAGACATCAGTGGCATACACTAGCCATTTCTATCACTCTTTTTTTACGGTGCTCAGATCTCATACAATACCCACCACAAACTTGCAAGGTGATGTTGCTAGCTAATATCCACAGTTGGAGAAAACAAAGCTTTGTGAGTCCAGGCAGGCAGGTGCCAGGTGACCTTAGGAAGGAATTACCAGGCACTGTTCAGAAGGAAAAGAAACGGCCTCCCATCATACCACGTTTTTACAAAGAGAACCATGAGCACACCAACTGATTGTGCAAGTTATTTCGAATGGACCTCCTATCACATGGCAGAAAGCTGTGGCCAACCACTGCATACACATTTAGTAAGCAAGTCTATGAGGGTACAAGGATTTTGTCATCTTTGTTTTGGAAGGGCAGTACCACACTAATCCTTGATTAGAACCAGTTCATTACACATCAAATATAGACACAGCTCTTCTTACCCTATACAAACTCGTCCACATAAAACATAGACACGGCTACTCTTACCCTATAAAACTCATCCACGTAAGATAAAGACGTGGCTCTTCTTACCCTATACAAACTCATCCACGTAAGATAAAGACGTGGCTCTTCTTACCCTAAACAAACTCATTATCCCTCCCCACATCTTCCCTACAGTTTTGCTTTCTTCTCCTACAACTCTAGACCTCCCTTCAGTCTGACTATGCTCGCACTCAGAATGGCTCTTGCATGTGACCTTCTCTGGGTGGCTTCTGTTCCTCCCCCAGCCCTCACATCCATCCCCTCAGAGCTATCCCAGTGCAAATTCCACTCTGTTGTTCATCAGCTTAAGCTTTAGTAAGGCCCAGCCCTTGTGAGGAGGCCTGTCAGTCTCCCCTGACTTTTTCTGAATGCTCTCTCTTGCATTCTACGCTCAAGCCATGCAGTCACCACTTGGGAGATCTGGTGTAGGCCACGCTGTCTCACAGCCCCAAGACTCATTCTGCTTGATATGCAAAATCTGGCATTGTCTTCTTGGCCTCCTCCACATCTGTCATGGCTCAACTCAAGCCTCAACTTTACTCTTTGAGACATTCCCATGATCGTCTCCTGCTCTGAACAACACCCAGAGATGGGTATTTCCCCCTTCCCCTTTGCGGTCCTATACAGGCAGTGCTACCTGTAATTCACTTGTTCCTTTACCCTCCTCCTCCTGCAAAGCTGGGAGTTTCTAAGTGAAAGTACCCATGGCCTATTCTCTCCACATTTCTGGTGCCTAGCAGAGTGCCAGATATAAGACAGAGATGAAATTTCCAATACCCTCTGATGTGGACATCCCATAATACTGTGGGATACCGCCTTGCAGCTGAGATCCCAGAATGTTTTAACATATCCCTCAATTTCGATGCAGGTTCCACTGGCTATTACAGAACCAAAAACAAACGCAGGCTGAGAATTACCCTAATGAGGTCTAGTCATTAATAGCCCATGTTACTTATGAACCTGCAAGACATTCTTTCTCTTTAGAGGTCACCAAGGCCTTGTTACAAAATACCAGTTCACTTTCCTTCAGACTAGATTAAAGCATCACTAACCAGTCAATCCCTTGCTCACTACTTCAACCCTACAGGCAGGATCTCTTTTCGACCAGGGCTATGTCAGTCAGAGATTGCTATTTTCTAGCTTTGCCACTATGTCTCAAAGCCCTCAGGTGATCCTCGTCAGTCACACGCCTACAAAGTGGACAATTCCTTACAGAGGCACAATTATCCCCTCTGGTACAAGAGTAGGAGGCCCCAGTCTATGAAAATGGTGTGCATAAAGTCGGTGACACACTGCACTCTCCTGTCGTCCTTGGAGTGGAGAAGCAGGGTGAGAGGGGTCAGGGTCACAGCATCTTCAGGATGCTGCCCTTCTCCTGATCCACAAAAGTCACACACACCTCTAGAGTTGAAAACAAATTAACAAAACAAGAACGACAAACCTCCACCAGTACAGCAGAAACACAAATGAACCAGAAACAAAAATAGATAAGAAAGTAAAATCAGAATTAGGCCATGGCCAAGGGGTCCAAAAACAAATCATTCCTGTGAGAACTGGATCTTTCCATGCCTTAACTAAGTTATGAATCCGCAATGGGCCCATTCCACTCTGGTGTACAACAGCCCTCACAAGCATGGAACCCAGGTATGCCTGAGACAGGAGTCACATCAGATCACTGTACTTTAGACTCTAGACGAGGACTGGTGTGGGAGGGTTGAGGTCAGAGGTGGAGGCAGGGCTGTAGGGATTATTTTCTATCAATGGGGAGGATGTGTGTTACTGAACTACAAATTAAGTTTCTGTAATCTTATAAGTGAGCTCCACTGTTTGTGGAAATCTGTCTCTGTGAAATCAACAATTCCCACAAGATTCAAAGATGTAATGAATATGATTTTAAAAATGAGTGGGAAGAGAAGCTAAAGGATAACCTACACATTTAGGTGACACACTCACAGGATGCCCTGTCCTGAGATCAAACGCAGCCTTGCTCCATTCTTAGAGAGAACTATATATACCTTGCCCTGTGTCAACCGCTCCCAGTTAATTAGCAAGGAAGAATGCTGGACCCCTGAAGCCAGGTGACTCCTCCTAGCACACATCCTTAACGCTATGACCTTAGGAGCAAAACCGACTCCTGCAGGCTGTATTTAAACATGTGCTGGTAGACACAGCACCCACTTACCCACATAAAACAGAGCTGGACCCCAAAGGCACCTAACTTTTCCACCTAAGAGACAGGAAGCCTGTGGACAAGTGCAAGCACAGGGGCTAGAAGCCTGTGCAGATTTTGAAGTCGGCGATGTGAATGATATTCTATATTCCTACTAGTTATGTCTCCCAATAAAACAGCAAGCAGAAACTTCCCAAGCAAATCTATTACATAAGGGAGAGACAGGCTGTCCACCACTGTACATTCAATATGGTAAAAACAGGGCAAGTCCTATTCCCCAGGAGCCACTGAACCTAACCAAATTTTAAAGAGGTTATGAATATCATCATTAAAATAAACCCCATGAGTAATTATGTCTAATTAGCTGAAGGAGGAGGAGGAAAAAGAGATAATAGTCTACATGTCTGGGGATGTTTCGGTTTTGAAAATGCACAAGCAATATTTCTAGAATGGCCTCATTCTCTACAACATTTCAGTGCATATTTAGCCTAAATAAGGCCTAGGGCTTTTTAAAGATTATTTTGAAAAGACAATACTTAAAAACATAAATTAAAAATAAATAGCACTGCCTTACTGCAATTAGTAAAAATTATCAGACTGTAAATTCTGCATTCATTTACTTACTAAAATATTCAAATTAATTCCTTCTGAATGTTCTATTAGCCCCAAGCTACTATGTCTCAGAGAATAACTAAGCTGAGGATCAGTGAAATCACTGTGCGCTCAGTGTTCTAACATCACAACTGTACAACACAAGGATCGTAGGCAACTGGTACTGATCTTTACCGACTTAATTCTCCTCGAATAGAGAAGCGAATCTAATTATAACAATATTAATACTCAAATGTAAGCTTTTCATGGACTACCCAACCCAACTCTCTCCTTTAGAGTCTAACAATGACTAGACTAACAATGCTAGACCACACTTGTCAACGGAGCAGCAGAGGAAGGTCGATGAGAAAGTCAGGTTTCAATGTAGCTGGTGGGAAACAAATGATCGGCAGTCTCCAGCCATCATGGAACCGTACCCTTCTGCAGAGATGCCTTTTGTATGCCTCTCTGAGCGACTTTCAGCAAGTGTCTTACTCTCAGCGCGCTCAAAGAAAAAGGAGCAACGAGCACCGAACATCAGTTTGTAAAAGGCACCGACGGCCAAGCCTGCTGACTCTGTCAGCTCAGTCCCTGGCCCCTGGAAACCGCATGGTGGAAGGAGGGTGCTCACTTCCTCAAGTTCCTGACTTGCACACACCAAACAAACAAACAAGTAAATAAATGAGTGTGAAATAATTCTAATTTCCTCTCAGCATCAGGAGAATCCACTGACTGACTAAACAAGAAATAATGGACTCAGTGATGTCAGTTTTCAGTAATAAAACAACCCTCAGTGCCTACAGTCAGAACGTGAAAAAGAAAAGAAATATTGTATATTAATTTAAACTTGAACCCTTCCAAGTGACCTTTGACATGATAAATGATCTCCTAACACTCTTGTCTCTCTAAAGTGACACTTCACCTCAGACCTCTCTGCATATACCACAAACGCATGCTTCATGTCCTGTGCTCGATAAGTAAACAGGCAGAAATGGAAGCCACAAGAGAGCCCTGAGCAACTCTTGGGTTTCCACAGGAACCAGAGAGGTCAAAGACATTTCCAGAGACCACTAATGGATAAATGATACAGCAGGCGCATTGCCACACAATCCCACACTTACCTCAGAGGCAGAAACATTAGGCATAAAATAATGGGGGAGGGCTCTATTCAGAAGTCTGTCATCCGCCTTTTAGCTCAGATTCCCAAGAAAAACCAAACAGTTGATGAAAAGAGAATTTAAAAAAACTGTGTGTCTACATAGGGCCTGGAAACATATCTTCCAGCCAGGATGACTGTGGCCAACCTGGTAGGCGTATAAAAGCAGGTTCCCAAATCTGGCCTTGGGCTCTTTTGCATGGACTACAGGATGCTCACGTGGTGAGGGAGTGGATGACAACAGAACTGAGAAAAAAACAAAGACGGCCAGCAAGCCACTTAGCATGCAGGAGCAGCGGGGAGCTCCCGAGCCTTTGGCAAATGTGTCATCCATAAAAGATCCCAACTTTACTGAGCTCCTAGTATGCTTGTTCAAACCGTTAGCATGTTTGCTGGTATGCTTCATGGCTGCAACATGTGGAATTTACATAGCGCCGCTCACCAAACACACCTCATCATTTAGCCGGACTGCACAGAAAAAGAACCATGTCTTCAGAGATGACTCAGCCAGTGAAACCCTGGTAGGAGCATTGAGTCTGCACCTCCAGCAATCACGTAAAAAATCTGGGCACAGAATCAGCTGCCTGTAATTCAAGGCCTGGTGGGCAGAGACCAGAGGATTCCCGAGGTTGGCTGGCCAGCCAGTCTAGCTCAGGTTCAGTGAGAGGTCCCAGCTCAGAAAACAAGGCAGAGGGGTTGGAGTGGTGGCTTGGGAGGAGCACGCGCAGCAGGAGTAGAAGGAGAAGAAGGACCAGAGTCACATCTCCCCCAATCTAAAGGCCAGGTGTGACGGTGTGCCTGTCAACTCCTGCACTGGGGTGGAAGGCCGAGAGAGGACCGCTGGGACCCGCTGAAAAACAGCAAGGTCTAGTTTCTATGGAAGATCCTGTCGTGTGGGAATACAGCAGAGAGTGATAGAGAACACCCAACACCCTTCTCCGGCTTCCCCATGCACAGGAACAGACAGATCTTACCACGTGTACACACAGCCATGTGCATACTATAGTCACACTCATACACACACGCACATACACACACCTTGTTTCAATAAGTTTGAAAGGTTTGAATGAGTTAAATGGAATTTAGTTTAAATGTCTACAGATCCCCCAAACCTGATCTGGCTCTATAGTAAGGAAACATTCAAACATGTCCATTTGTCCAGTCATCAGGAGAACGCCTCCTGCTCACCTGAAGTCATGGCTTGTCACAGCCGTAATAAGAATGTCACAGCAAACTAAACTCTGGAGTTCCAGAAGAAGAAAGCAGTCCTTCTAAAGTAATTGATCATCTACAGTCTAGGTGAGTGGGAAGGGGCTGCCTTGGGCTTTAGACTGTATGTCACCTACCATCCACCTATCAACAATATCTGTTATGTGTGTACATCCCCATCCATCCATCTATCTACCTACCTAAAACCTACATACCTACCTGTACTGGCTGGTTTTGTGTGTCAACTTGACACAAGCTAGTGTCACCAGAGAAAGGAGCCTCAGCTGAGGAAATGCCTCCATGAGATCCAGCTATAAGGCATTTTCTCCTTTAGTGATCACTGGAGGAAGGCCCAGCCTATGGTAGGTGGTGCCATCCCTGGGCTGTTAGTCCTGGGTTCTATAAGAAGGTAGGTTGAGCAAGCCGTGGGAAACAAACCAACAAGCAGCACCCTTCCATGGTCTCTGCATTAGCTCCTGCCTCTAGGATCCTGCCCTTCCTGAGCTCCTATCCTGATTTCCTTCAGTGAGAAACAGCAATGCTGAAGTATAAGCCAAAGAAACTCTTTCCTCCCCATGAGTTTTTTTGGTCATGGTGTTGGTGACAGCAATAGAAACCCTACTAAGACACTATCTTTGTAATTCTGGGACTCAAAGCTAGAGAGGCACACATGCCAAGCAAATGCTGTAGCATTGAGCTCAATCCTGTCATGGACTTTAATCACACACAAACCTCTATCCCCTTAGGTAAACAGCTTCAAAAGCAGCTCTCAACTGTAACATGTAAACATGCCTTCCTGGGTTCTAAGACTTTATGAAATGAGGCTGATAAATGTACTAGTTGACAGCCTGATAGAAGTGGATGCCAAGTAAACATTAGTTTTCTCTCTTCCCCTTCCCCACAAAGCAGCACTCACATATATACAGTATCTCTGCTGCAAGAGATGGTGAGGAAACCATTTAGAGTAGGCAAGGAGTTCTGAATGTTCTAGATTACTGATATCAATAGTGAGTCTAAAAGGATCATTTAGGATTCCATAAATGCACCAGTGACTGAATCAAGGTAGAAGTACAAGAGACTGGCTGTGCAGGGTGTTGGCTGTGCTAGGTGTTGGCTGTGCAGGGTGTTGGCTGTGCTAGGTGTTGGCTGTGCAGGGTGTTGGCTGTGCTAGGTGTTGACTGTGCAGGGTGTTGGCTGTGCTAGGTGTTCGCTGTGCAGGGTGTTGGCTTGCAGGGTGGTGGCTGGGCAGGGTGGTGGCTGGGCAGGGCAATGACTGACATGGGGCACTGTTTGTCTTAAGACTCCCGGGTTCTGTGATGTGATGGAAAGGCTAAGATGACATTTTGCAGCTTGACCTCCTTGCAAACAGAAGAAGGAACCACTGTGTTCCTTCTGCAGGCTGATGTGTGTGGTCTCTGTTTCTAAAGTGCACACTAACTCTGAAATGTTCACCCACACTTAAGAGAAGTGGGCATGATTCTACTCCAAACACTTTGATGTGAAAGTGTTTGGAAACAGCCTTTCCAAAATAGCCAGCAAACAATGCCGAGAGTCCAGGGGTTGAACGGTTTCCTTGGCACTCAAGCCTTAAATGGTGAGTTTTCTGAGTGCTCAGGGAGGGCCCAACTTTCCTTTTTTTTTTTTAAACAAATTGGTAATCTGTAACTACAAAAACAAAAGCCTCCTGTTCAAATATGACATCTAGCTCTCCAGGGAACTCCTTTTCAATTGATAACTAAAAATAACCTGACATGACGTGGTTAGCTATAGCAACATTACTATTTTAAGCTAAATAGATATATAAATAAATAAAACTAAATCAAAGATAAATGAGAATGAAAGAAAAAATAAGCTATTTGTAGTGTATGACCTTAACCAAGGCAGGCCACATCACCTCTTCATGGTTAAGTAAAATCGTTAGTAAATTTCACCTACTTCATAAATAAATGTTGTGGTTTTTTTTTAATGCCATAGTGCACATGTGGAGGTCAGAGGACAACTGTGGGAGCTGATTCTCTCCTTCCACCATGCAGATACAAGGAATTTGAACTCAAATTATCAGGCTTGGTGACAAGTTCCTTTACCCACTGAGCCAACTGACTGCATCCCCTCGAAAATGCTTTTTACTAAAAGCACACGTGCACAGACCCAGGGACAACAGAACATAACACAGTAAGGCCACAGAGCTGACACAGGGAAGTGGTGGCCCAGCCTTGGTAGCAATGAGTACCCAGTGTGCAGCAGATCCTATGTGTGGCAACTGACCCCTAAAAGATGCACACTGGACTTCGTAGGTAGGGCTCAGTACAAACAGAAGGGTACAGACAGACAGATTTCAATAGCTTTCTGTCATACATACAGGGGTCATAATTGCCTCTCTAGAGTTAAATATAATATCACAGAAAGGACTTTCTCTTGTTTCTTTTAACTGTTTAAACATGGCCACCACTACATATAAATCACATTTTTGTTTGTTTGTTTGTTTGCTTGCTTTCGATGTCTGCTGGTCAGGACCAATGATGAGGGTGTTTCAGCTCAAATTACCATGAGTGGTGAATGTCCATATATCATGTGCCATCTTTTGATCAGGAGGTCAAGAGCCTGGACGACAGTTTCTACAATCTGCCGGGGCTCTGACATTCTGTAATTTGTGGGTCTGTGACAGTACTAAGGTGTGGGACAGGACCTGTGATGAAGGGACACCCTGGCCATTATCAGCTCGCAGCATCATGGGCCCACAGCTTATGTCCAGGATTGGAGACAGCACTGTTCCACATATGCCAAACTCCATACAGAATCACAGCTATTTCTGCTCTTTGACATCATTAAGTATGGCTTCCTATCTTAGATAGCAGAGATTTTTTTTCTGACTTGACCATACTTTTTTTGGATGTAAATGAGATCTGCAAAAATTATGTCGCTATGATGCCACAACCTGCCAACTTCAAAACTGCAAAGCCTGTAAAAATTCAGGTGAAACCCACAGGATTTCAGGACCCATAACCCAGCACTGCATGGCTGTCACTACAATGTCTCCTCATTTAATGACTTCATCACACACTGCCTCCAAAGGATAGGCGCCTGCTGTAGTTTCCATGTTGGTCCCAGGGTCTCACACACTGGAATCTTAAGTCTTCAGTCTGGTGCTGGTAGGAGGTAGGGGATCCTTTAAGGAGGGAGCCTAGCGGGAGGTGATCAGAGCACTTCCTTACACAGGGTGATCACAGAGCTTGTGGGATCCCAGTAAGGGCCAATGACAGTGGACCATTATAAAGGCATCAAACTGGTCCCTCCCTCCGCTTGGCTCCCTGTCTAGTCACATGCTCTCTCTCCCTTGCTCATTTGCTCCCACCATGATGCCATCAGCTGTAGATGAGGAAATTGATCAGCAGAGGTCAAACAGATACGGCCAGCTTGATTGTGAACTTTCAGCCTCCAACACTGCGATCTAAACAACTTGCTTTATAAAATTCCCAAACTCAAGTATTTGTTATAGTGATGGGAAAGGATGGTTAGAGCCTTCTCCCTGCCCATCTATGACCAAGTTTTTTGGAAGACCTTTAACGGTAATGATCAGTTAGCAAAGAAGAGCGTCTTAGAAATCAATAACATACCAACTCCATTAACTGTTTGAGCTGACCTATCTCTTCAGGCAGTGATCCCAGCTTGTTGTTACTTGCGATTAAGACTTTGAGAGGCAGACCACACAGGCAGGCGGGCAGGGCAGACAGCTGATTGCGGCTGTAAAGACAATACAACAAGAACACATGTAAACAGAAAGGCCACTTCGTGATGCTGCCTGTGAGTGGGTTCTCTTTGGTTGGCAAATGCATTTTTCTCTGGGTTATTTGAGAAAGGGGCTCTCTATGTAACCCTAGGGGACCTGGCATCCCTCCACAATCTAAGCTGGCTTTAAGCATAAGATCTTCTGCCTCTGCCTCACAGCCAGAGGTACCATGCCCAGCTGTGAACATGAGAAGATGTTTTATAAATGTAAAAACTCTAACATTTCTGTCTCTGAAATCACTCAAATTATTAAGTGCACAAGGGAAAAAAACACACTAAAAAAGAATGGAGGAGTGGAGAGACAAGATTGAATAACAAATATCAAAATGCAATTTGGCAACTACATTGAGATTTAATCTTACACCAACCAGAATGGCCAAGATTAATCAAACAAATGACAGGTCATGCTGGCAAGGATATAGAGAGTAAGGGGACTGCTCACCCTCTGTTGGTGGAACTGCATACTTGGCAAGCCACTAGGGAAAGCAGTATGGCACTTCCTCAGGAGGACGGGAATTGATCTATCTCAAGAACCAACTAGACCACTCTTGGGCATATTCTCAAAGGATGCTTCATCCTACCACAATGACACTTGCTCAACCATGTTCACTGCTGCTCCATTCATAATAGCCAGAAAGTGGAAACTACCTAGATGTCCCTCAACAGAGGAAGGAATGATGAAAACGTGGTACATTTACACAATAGACTATTACTCAGATGTTTAAAAATAAAAATAAAATCAGAAAATCCGCAGGTAAATGGATCAAGCTAGTAAGAATCATTCTGAATGAAGTATCCCAACCCCAAAAGAACAAACATGGTATGTGTTTGCATCGATGTGGATGTTAGCTATTAGGTCTTCGATAAGCAGAATACAGTCTGTATAACCACAGTGGTTAGGTATAGAGTTAAGGGGCTATGGAGAAAGCTCCCTAGGAAAGGGAAATAATATGTATTGGCTGGGGATGGGGATGGAACAGGAGCATTAAACAGGGAGGAAAAAGGAAAGTGGAATAAGGGACGGAATGTGGGAGGGGCAACAGCTAACTCTCAGGACCATCTGAGGGGTCATATAAAAACCTACTGCAGTAGAAGCTTCTTAAAATATACACTAATGTGAAAAAAAAAATCTAAATGGAACCACCAAATGACCAGGAGACAAAGCTACAACAAAATATCTCAAGCCACCAGGGGAAACTTTCAGTGTCAGGAAGAGGACAGTTATATCTCATTTGAGTTACTGGACATAGGAGCCCTGTGGAAACCCATACCCAAGCCAGGCTATTACCAAGGCTACTGAGAGTAAGGTCAGTTGCTGGAGATAACACCGACACGACTCACTGAACACGGAGAAGCCGAGCTGGTGCCTGCCTAGCGCCTTCATCCCTATTGCCTAGTGCTATGATACTGGAGAGCAATACTCTGCACGCTACCAAAAGAGCAAAGTCAAAATCAACCCAGCTATAAAACCTTCAGTCTCCAGTGGTGACCTGCGGGTAAGATACACTAGTACAGCAGAAGTACAAAGTTAGGGGTGTAACCAACCCCTACCCGACTGGATTTAAGGCCCACTCAGAGAGGGAACACAGACATGACACTGCTCCAGTGGCCGACAACCTGATAGACCTGGGGGAAAACCAAATGCTATTGTTCTGCTAAAGGAGTGAAGCAATAAAACAGCTCCTAACAACCTTCTGCTATACTCAGAGATCAGTGCCTTGCTCAGTCATCAGCACAGAGGCTTCTTCTTGCAGCAGATGGGAACAAAGCCAGAGACCCACAACTGGAAACTGTGCAGAGAGTAAGAGACTTTGGAACACTCTGTCCTGAATGGGAAGTCAACATCAAATCCTTCCGGTCTGGGCTCAGGGAACCCCACGGAAGAGGGGGCAGAAGGATTGTAAGAGCCAGAGGGGGTGGAAGATACCAAGGAAACGGGTTGTGGAGACACAACAGGCCCGACACACAGAGGACTTCTGAGACCATGGCAGCACGCACAGGGTTTGGACAAGCTTAAGCCAGATGGGGTCCCAGTAGTAACGAGGAAGTAGAGACAAGCCCCCACCCCAACCCAGAAACTATCTCCAATTGATATCTACTTGCAACAGAAAAAATTAACATTCTCCAATGGAGTCTCAATGGATGTACAAACCGCTTTTAAGGAAGGTCCCATGCGCAGCAGTAGATGGCCAACACAAAATGACCCAAAGAATGTTTCTGGAAGTCCTTTTTTTTTTTTTTCTTTTTTGGTCTCATAATGCTTAGTCTGAGCATTTTTTTTTAACCTTACAGGTATTTTGCTCATATATTATAGTTTCCAGATTGGGATTTTTAAGGCAGTCTATATATGTGAATGTATGTGTTTCTGTGTCTACATGTGTTTCTTGTGCTTTTTCTTCGGCTTGAGTGTGTGCATGTGTGTGTGTGTGTTTGTTTGTTTGTTTGTTTGTTTGGCCTGTGCATTTGTTTTTATCTTATTTTTTATTTTTTTAGAAGCCTATTTGTTTTCTTTTTTGATATTTCAGGCTAGTTTTATTTTATTTATTCAATTTTTTTTGCCTATTGGTTTTCTAAAGAGAAAGAACAAGAAAGGGTATGGATTTAGGTGTGGGAAGGTAGGGAGGATCTGGAAACAGCTGAGGGAGGGAAGACTGTAGTCAAAACATATTGTGTGAAAAAAACTATTTTCAATTTTTTATAATTACCATAATTTTCTTAAAAAAATTTGCAATTCTGAAAAAAAATGCAATCTGACAGAAAAAAAATGAGCTCTGGGGTCCTGAAGCAAAGGCGGTTGAGTCAAATGTCCAATGTTACGTTTCAGGATCAGTGACGGACTGGAAGGTTTCCATGAACAGATGTCCACTGCTCAAGGATGGGAAGATGCTAGGCACCAGACACAATCACTTCATTGGTACGCATATCAAATCATCATTCTGCAGGTCACAACTCTCCCCAAGTCCTGGGCATGCATTACACACACACACACACACACACACACACACACACACACACACAGGCCTTGGCAGGAGGCGAGTACCTCCTCCTGCACAGTAGAGTACCACGGAGCTCCTTGAACAGGACGGAAGGAGACTGAAGGACAACCTTTCCCCAAACCCAAGGGGAGCAGGTGCTGCTACAGTTCAGAGAGTCCCCAAAGGTCCAGAGCTACAGGATGCCTCTTAAAAGCACACCACCAGCTAGGCGGTGGTGGTGCACACCTTTAATCCCAGCACTCAGGAGGCAAAGGCAAGCAGATCGCTGTGATTTCGAGGTCAGTCTGATCTATGTAGTGAGTTCCAGGATAGCCAGGACTACACAGAGAAACCCAGTCTCAAAACAAACAAACAAACAAAGCACACCACCTCCTAAGAACAACACACTGCTCTTGCCTCGCAACAAGCACAAAAGTAATGGTGACTATGGACTAGACTGGAACTTCTAAAAGAAAGACAACGCAAACCTTTCACCTTTTAAAGTTGATTTTCTTGATTGCTTTGTTACTTGGACAGACCATTGTATGAGTGACGTCACTGTCCTCCCCTGACATGTACAGGAAATTCAGTCAGACAGGACCAGGCTCTGCTTGGTCATTTTTTTTAAAAGCACATTTTGAATTTGCTGCTAGATTTCTTTTTTAGATGTCTACGAATGTTTTGCCCGAGAACATGTACTGCATGAGTGCAGGTGCCCGGAGAAAACATCAGATCCCCTAGTACTGGAAGACTGTAAACCACCATGTAGGTGCTGGAGACTGACCCTGGATCATCTGGAAGCACAGCGCTGAGCCATCTCTCCAGCACCAGAGATGTTTCGACATTCGTTTTAAGCATGAAGAGGAAGAGAGGTGTTGGGGGTGAAAAGTAAGACATATTCGTGTGCGTGGGTGTGGCTTCTCAAAGGCGAGTCCCTGTTGGCCAGGAGAGAATTGCTGCAACCTGTAAGTCAGTGGGTGGAGTACCGATGCTTGACTCAGCTGAACACTGTTAAAACAAGAACGGCTACAACTGCAGTCAGCTTGAGTACCTGCAAGGGGGCTGAGGAAAAGGCAAAAGGTAGCCTTCTGGATGCTTGGAACCCAGAGGGCTTCAGCTTCCCAGAGTAGCCGACAAAGTCTGATGGGGGTTTTGCTCCTCTCTGCACGAAGAGCTCACACAGAAGTCTCTGAACTTCCTACTGCCGGTGTTTAGTTTTCTAACTCAGAGAAAAAGTCAATTAAAGAAACCTGTTGCCCCTCCACATGTCCCTGTCAGTCCTTTAGCTCAGTTTCCTCCCCCACAGAGTGCTCTGTCCTGCCACCAACCACAGAGACAGATGGGTTACAATTTCTCTGATTTTCTTTCCCCATTATTCTGCAGATGAAGCCAATGGTGTGTGGCTGCGACTATTAAAAACTTCCATGTGTCTACGCACACATGCGTAACATTTCAGTGCCATGCCCCGTGCACACATATTTACAGGCTAAAACATCTGGAAGTCACAATAAGAAAGATTTCTAACCTATCAAAATATCATTAACAATCATTTAGGGGTATCTAAAAAGTGGTTTTTATTTTTCCATTTCACAGTGTGCAATATTTTCTGAAATTCCTACAAGGGCTTTGATAATCAGAAAAGAAACATCCTATAACAAAGTAAACTGGATTAGACATTCCTTGCATGGGTGCTTCTATATATATGAAAACTCCCTGAGATACTCTAATCGAGGCCCTCCCTTAACCAACACCTCAGTATGACTCCTACTGCAGGCAGCAGCTGCCTAGTTAACTATCAGGGCGAGAAAGAGCACATCAGCCATTTCTCCCATTTCCTAGATCTGCAAGAAAGCTATTTCCACAAGTGGGCAGAGGCATTTTCCCATAAAGGTCCAGCAGGAGAGAGAAGGTGTGGGGGGGGGGGGGCTCTGGCCTGATAGAAAAACAGACTATGACACTCTTCCAGGCTCTAACAGTAGA